AGACAGTGATTATGTACAAAATATTTAAGTCGCAATCAGCAAGTATCTTTAATGTATAACATTGATGTCATTGTAATTGTGATCTGCAGGTTTGCATCACTCATTGTCTGGCAAGCTCCCCGTGATGTATTCCATATGCTAGACACAGTAACAACAAAGTTTCCAATGGAGATGTTACTGGGCCCACTCGAGAAAATCGAACAGTACTATGCTTGGGTTTTCCCAAGGGATTGTGCTGACCTTGGGGTTCTTATTAGGGAAATGATTTCCTAAATGGATTCTGAGTTTGTCCATTAAATGAAGTCTTTTAGTCAAATTTCACGGTTTTTCTTACACATTTTTATCCCCTTGATAAGTCCAGGGTTTTTTGTTCTTTAAAAGTGTTGGAGGTTTTTGTTAGTAGTCTGTGTATTGCGGCAAAGCATCCCCTTGATGTAGTTTCACATATTCCTCTGCTTTTTAAATCTCTGTGTTTTCATAAGTTGATGGTTGTATTTATGTTGTTGATTTGATTTTATGCTTCAGATTTGCCTTTTTTCTCCAAAGCTATTAATGAATGGTTATGTGATCCTCAAGGACAAGGCTCATGATAGTTGATTCTCTTCTTTTTTTGTGATGTTAGGATTGACATATGGTTTCTATATCCCTTATTATTCTATGTATTGTTATTTTATTATTACTAAGTAATAACATTATTCTGTCTTCATTTACTAACTGTAACACTCGGTGTTCAGAGACTCACCTTCTTTTTGTTTACCTAATGGCACAGTTTATTTAAAGGGTATATTGCCTTTCATTTACTGATCTGACAGTTCAATGGCAGTTCTACTTAGGATAAATAGTGAAAGTTTGTTTATTTTGTATGTATTCCTATGAGCTCATTGTATTAGTGACATACCTATCAGCTCATTGAATTAATTCATTAATGTACTTCATGTTTCAATCCATGGCATTTATTATAATTGATATGAAAATCGTCGTCATTTGTCTAGTGGAAGCCTTTTAGCACACCCTTTCTTGATATCTCATTGAGGTTCATCGTGCTTGTTTCCAGCCCTAGACATGGAATTGGCTATTTTTCCAAGGAGCCTTGATCCCTTTTTGTGGAAAGTGTTTTTTTGGAGATAATAGTGTGAATGGTAGGGTAGTATCTTACTATAGAATTGACATTATTTCCAAGTCTTCTGATGGAACTAGAAAATGTTGTTTGTAAAAGGCCCTCCCGTTGATCATCGATTTGCTCAAGCGGGCCCAGTAACGTCTCCATTGGAGACTTTGTTGTTACTGTGTCTGGCTTGTCGATATGTTGTTTGTAAGTATGTGTAATTTTATTGAAGGTGAAACAAACTGAATACAAACAAGTAAAAACAACAAAAAAAGAGGAGAAAACCCATGAGTTTAAACTGATCTTTCCAAATAAGGGATCATGCATAACTTTCTCCCCTTTCTTTGTCAAGAATTCCTTTTTATAAAAGACAGAATTCAACGAGCTGGAGATATAGTACAGCTGGTAGGGCATTTGCCTTGCACGTGCTGACCAGGGTTTAATCCTTGGCATCCTATAGAGTCCCCTGAACATCAGCAGGGGTAACTCCTGAGCGCAGAGACAGGAGTTACCCTTGAGAATTGCTGCTTATGGCCTGAAAACAAAACAGACAACAACAGAAATAACAAAATCCTCAAAAAAAAAAAAAAGAATTCAAACATTTTGTCTTAATCATTTGCTTTCTTCATTAACAGAACCTTAGAATAGTACTGAAGTTACCACTAATTATATGATTGCTAAAATTAGAAGGAATCTCATTTTACTTCGTTGATTGTGTTTTGGTTTGTCTTGTTATTTTGGATTAAGAATACTAATTATAGACTTCTGTCCGTTACTTCTAGGTTCATATAGTTGACGGCACAAAATTTTTCCATGTCCACTACTTTTCTTTTCTTTCTTTGTTTCATTAGAAAATTAAGAAAGGCATTATGAAAGATTGATTTATATTTCCTTTTCGTTTCCCATTGTTGTTTTCGATGTTATGGTCACCCAGGGTCACACACTTTAGTTCTGGTGCTTATGTACATTCTTGTTATAGTGCTCACTCGCAATCTCTGTGCTATTCACACACAGACTTGCCAGGGGTCAGATTCCTTGCCCCAGAACTTGCATATATCCCAGTTGCAGTACAACCTGCATTTATCTCAACAACAGCAGAAGGAAGCAGAAGGGTAAAAACCAAGTTTAGGATTAAAACATTGTTGTTTTCAAATGTAACTTTCACTTAATCACTTAATCACTTAACTTCCCGTTAGTCGTCGATTTGCTCCAGCGGGCGCCAGTGACGTCTCCATTTGTCCCTGTCGCGTGCTAGTGTAGCCCAATGGCATCTGTTCGCTCCGGAACATGAAGGGCCTCAAACCGATCGTTCATGATCTTGACGAAGAAGTCTGACCATCTGGTAGGTGGGCGGCCACGCGGTCTTTTGACATCCCGTGGAATCCAGTCGGTAACAGCTCTAGTCCAGCGGTCGTCTTTAAATCTCATTATGTGACCAGCCCATGTGATTTTCGACACCTTGGCAAATGAGACAGCGTCCCTGATTCTTGATCGTCGACGGATGTCAGAACTCCGGATTCTTTCTCTCATTTGAGTGAAACGTGATATTCCAAGCATAGCTCTTTCTATTCTTCTTTGAGAGATCTGAATAGTGTTCTCATCCTGTTTGCGTAGGGCCCAGGTCTCTGAGGCATATGTTAATGCAGGAAGAACAGTGGAATCAAAGAGATGTGCCCGGAGCCGGAGGTTCTTCGTCCTCTTGTCCTCTTAGCTATTTCTTCGACGCTCTTGAAGGCGTTCCAAGCCGCTCTCTTCCTCCTGCGCAGCTCGGGTGCCAGGTCATTTGTCATGTTGACCTCTCGACCTAGGTACACATAGCTGTTGCATTCGGAGATGGTCGTTCCGTTGACAGCGAGTGGGGCATCAGGAACAAGGCTGTTTCTCATAAACATTGTCTTCGTAAGATTCAGCTGTAGTCCTACCTTTCCACACTCACGGTCAAAGTCGGCCAGCATTTGTGCCGCTTGGCTGATGTTTGGTGTTATTAAAACAATGTCATCAGCAAAGCGGAGGTGGTGTAGTTGCCGACCATCTATCTTCACTCCCATTCCTTCCCATTCCAGTCGTCGCATGATGTTCTCGAGGGTTAATATATAACCAGAGGAATATTAGAGAACCTTTAAATATGTAATTAATTTTTGTTAGTAGATTTACTCTTCCTTTGGGCTTATCATTTTAGTATATCCTGCTAAATTTCAAGCCACATGAAAATTCTCTGCTGATATATCATTGTATGAAGTAAAATTATTTTTATTACCAAAACCTATAAATATTTGTAAAATTTTGAAATAATTGAACTGAGCTCCTGGTCTCATTTTTTCTTTTTCTTATTACTTTATTTAAACATCGTGGTTTACAGAGTTGTTCATAATACAGTTGTCTTTGGCATTCAGTGTTCCAACACTAATTCCACCACCATTGTGACCTTCCCTCCACCATTGTTCCAAGTTTCCCATCCCCCTTCTCACCAAGCCTATGCCCTTAGTAGGCACAAAGTAATTTATTTTATATTTTGTTTCACAACTGAATGACTAATGGAATTACTTAAAAAAAATCAGTAAAAGAAAATTTGTAGAGGCCGGGGTGATAGTACAGTGGGTAGGATGTTTGTCTTGCATGCGGCCAACTCCTGTTCAATCCCCGGCATCCCATATGTTCCTCCAAGCACCGCCAGGAGTAATTCCTGAGTGCAGAGCCAGGAGTAACCCCTGAGTACTTTTTGGATGTGATCCAAAAAGTATTAAAAAAAGAAAATTTGTAAAAATTGTTATATTTCACTATGGGGTCTTTAAGTCCATGTCTAAGGGTTTACAAAGCTCTTTGTTGCTAGTTTAGCTTCAGTGTTTTTTTTTTTTTTCTTTATTGAGCTTAGTTGACTTCTATGTTTTTTCCCCATCCAATTTGGTGTGCTTCTACTGGGATATTAGTATTGTGGAATTTGGAGGTATCACACAGCCACTTATGGGAACATGTACTTGAGGAACTCCAAGATCTGTACAGTTGGGCCTATGAGTTTACATGGCAGTTACCATGGGGTGTGAGTGTTGCTGCTAGGGGTTCTGAAAGTATGGGAGGTAAGAAGGAGGCTGCCTGCACACACTCCCATAAGACCCTAGAGGTTTTAGCCTGAAACAGAGGTTTTCACTTCTGAAAATATATCACCTTTGTCAGGCCTGACTTTTGAAATCTGCTCCTCTATCATAAGACTGTTTTTTCCACAAGGATTTCCATCGATTTGGCATCTCTGCAGAGATTAATCATGAAGTGGTGAAGTTGGATAATTGACATGGTGGCAGCTCTGGGGTCTGGGTGAAGCTGCCCAGCTTTTACAGGGGAAGGACTCAGCTAGCCCCACTCTTGTCATTTTCCTACATTTGAAAATGGCAATGTTTTAATCCTAAACTTTGTTTTTACCTTTCTGCTTCCTTCTGCTGTTGTTGAGATAAATGCAGGTTGCACTGCAACTAAGATATATGCAAGTTCTAGGGCCAGGAGTCTGACCCCTGGCAATTCTGTGTATAAATGCCACAGAGACTGCGAGTGAGCACTATGACAAGAATGTACAAAAGCACCAAAACTGAAGTGTGTGACCCTGAGTGATCATAACATCATGCGCCAAAGTTTTCTGCCGGGAGACCAGTGTACCTATGAATTTTAGCTGTTTGGCTTCTATGCTGATACTTTAAAATATGGTATTATAAAAAAATGGTTTATGGTAGCTTAATTCTTAGCCGTAGCTCATTGAATTAAGTACTATTGTATTAAATAAATGGAAATATATCATCATATTGAAACCGGTATAATATGGTTTTACCTAGTTTTACTGCCTTATTAATTATATTCAAATTTTTATTAACTGTGTCTCTTGCTTTATGCCTCTTATCTCTTTTCCTAGGTTATTTTAGTGTCTGCCAATAAATTGACTCGTTACATAGAACCATGCCAGTTAACAGAAGATTTTGGTGGGAGTCTCACTTATGATCACATGGACTGGTTAAATAAGCGGCTGGTTGGTATATAACATTGATATGAATTACACATTTTAATAGCATTATTTTAATCAACTAAAATGCAGGTTGCTTTTCATTTTACAAAATCAAAAAAAAAAATACGGTGGCATACAGGTGTTATCTGTTACTATTGTTATCAGCAGCACTTTTGCTCTTCAAGGTTATAAACCTTTGGCCAGTGAGATAGCACAATAGGTTTGAGCACTTGCTTTGCATACTGGAGCCCTAAGTTTGATCCCTGGTACTGCATGTTTCCTTGAGCACTACCATATCTGGCCCAAAAACTAAATCCCCCCCCCCCCCCGAGGGAAAAAAAAAAAAGCAGTTGTAGATCCCTTAGTTAAAATAACAGAGTAGCATAGTTTCTTGAGAGAGATAATCCAGTTGATATATGATTTTCATAGAGGAATTTGAACCTTAACTTGAGTTGAGGAGCAGTTTGGTAGATTGAGGTTTTCACTTCTGAAAATATATCACCTTTGTCAGGCCTGACTTTTGAAATCTGCTCCTCTATCATAAGACTGTTTGTTTTTTCCACAAGGAGCCACATCCAGCAGTGGAGGGAAAGGACTGAGGCTGGGGACAAAACCACTGCCAGCAATAGTGAGCCAAAGGGATACTGGTCTAAGAATTAGATTCTCAAAAGCCGCCCGTATACCAGGACCACTCTGGCCATTAGGGCTAGAGCTGACAGAGCCCTGGGGAGGGGCGGGGTGCAGAGACAGCAGCTTGAGTGTCTGGGGGTGAAACTAAGGATTGTGCTCTTAAGCTGTAACCATGGTCAGTATGGAGTTTAATTGAGCTACAGTTTAATTAACTCGGTTTAGTGAGAAAGAAGGTCCTCTGTAATGTCATTTTGTTCAGTATTGTTTTGTTATAACATGGATAAGGAAAAAAAAAAGAGAAAAAAAATCCTATAATCCCTGGCCAAAGTTAAAGCTTTTCTTTCCTTACAAAGTCGTTTATCTGTAGTTTTCAAGAATGTGATGAACATGTTAAGTGAGGACTATCCGTCCATGCTAGTTTTATTTTAAATAATGAAGTATGATTACTTGAGAATGTATACCCAATTCTTTGTCTATCATATTTTTGAGCAATGGTGACCAACTAATGAGCATCTACCTTGTTATTTATGTTTATGTTTTTTCAAATCCCATTTTAGAATTAATTTCAATATGTTTAAATATCTGTTTATGTTTATACTACATGCTTACACCCTTACATGTAAGCAGGTGGATTGGTAGTTAGAATATCATGAAGGTATGTTAAGGTAGTTAAAAATGATTAATGTAGTTAAAAATTAACAAGGTAGTTAAAAATTATCAATGTTGATGTTTCTCAAAGAAGTGCAAGAATAAAAATATTTGAACTGGAATAAAAATAATTGTTTAATGTACATTAGTAAAAGGGTATTTTTTTAAATCCACCAAAGCTATTGTTTTAGGACCAGTTTTGCTATGTTCTGGTGGTTGAATTATATTCAGTGACTTACTTTTGGATTTGATTTGGATTTAATGAGCTATTACACACAACAGGTAGGTATTTGGCTTGCACACAGCCAACCTGGCCATTGGGAGTTCGATTCCTCCGCCCCTCTCGGAGAGCCCAGCAAGCTACCGAGAGTACCTCGCCCACACGGCAAAGCCTAGCAAGCTACCCATGGTGTCATTGATATGCCAAGCACAGTAACATTTTATTTATTATTTCTAAATAACAGGGAAAGGAAATCATGTTTGATGTTTCTATTAGTTTAAATCTCAAACACTTATATGCATCATAAAATTTGTAATAATTCGTATTACATTCATATTTACATTGCAGGTTTTTGAGAAATTTACAAAGGAATCCACATCATTATTAGATGAACTTGCTATGATAAACAATGGAAGCGATAAGGGAAATCAACAAGAGAAAGAAAGGTAGGTTTCTAAGAACAAGACAAACAAATGAAGTACAAAGGTTGATTATTTTTAATTAGGGAGAATTTACTTTGTTTATAATTTGAAACATAATCTCTTTATAAAATATTTACCTTAATAATTGCTTTTTTACACTGCAAAATACTCATTTGCATTGACATCTTTAAAATGAAACAATTGCCTACTTTTTTATTTTAAAAATGTAATTAACATTTTCGTGTACATTGCTAGGTATCAAGCTCAGAGCTTTGTTCTTTTAGGGCTAGACTGCTGAGATCTGTTGTTAATTTTCTACTTTTTTAGACTTCTGCTTTGCTTATAAAGAATATAGTAAAGGTGATGGCGTAAAATAAAATTACAAAATTCTAAAAATACATTAAAAGTTAACCATTTAGCTTCTAGGATTCCTCCAAGTAAAATATGTGATACTTGAGTTCAACTTGGTGAATTTAGTGTTTCCTAGCACTAAATGTAGTAATTGTTTATTAGTATTATATCTAAACTCCCTAGAGTTATTCTAATAGATTTCTGTTGAATTTTATAATATTAGGGGTTTTATTTTTCTGTTTGTATGCCAGTTCTCTTTGTTTCCAGGTAAAAATCACTTTAAGGAAGCACATTAACCCTTTCTGGCTTCTCAATAGCAAGAGTCATAATAGAGTAATTTTCATTAGGATGTTTAAAAAGAATCAGCATTCAGCCTTATCTGTCTTTTGAATCCAGTCTTAAAAATAAAATGGAACTTAGATAAAAATGTATCTTTTTATTCAGTGGTCCAAGTATTGCCACATATCAGTTAACTTAGATAATAAGGAAAGAGGCACATACAGAGTCTGGAGACATAGTATAGCAGGGCTTTTGTCTTACATGTGGCTGACCTGGGTTCTAGGCATTCCATATGGTCCCCTGAGCACCACCAGGAGTGATTTCTAAGTGCAGAGCCAGGAGTAACCCCTGTGTATCGCCAGGTATGGTCCCCCCAAAAGAAAAAATAAATAAAATAGAGTACAAAGTTCATTGATGTGACTAAATCTTGTTACAACAACCATTTAAGAGAAAATTATCCTAAAGATACATAAAATCGACAAGTGTAAATAAATTGCATAATGTAAATAAGGCATGTAGGTATCACACACACATAAGCTATGGAATTGAAAAATGTCACCTGAGTAACAACGAAAATTAGTTGAACCTAGTGCATTCTGAATAGTCCCCCCCAAAAAAGGGTATGCTTGATGTTTCTGAAACTCTTGTTCCTCAGGAAAGACATCGTAAGAATATGCCTGCAGGAACTGAGTTCATGATCTTAGAGTGTAATGTTCATTATTCCATTACTCATCTTCATGGTGAAGATTTATAGATTACATGTTCTGAGAAAGAATCCTGTTAAGTTTCATAGAACTTTCCTTAGAATTTCCTATATTTACCTGCCAGTGAAACCCCCCATTTTTCTTCTTAAAAGTAATGTCTAGAAATTTTTTATGAAACATATTAGGAAATTCTGGTTAACATAACTCTAGGAAATATCAATAATATATTCTGTATATGAATTCATCCCCAAGAAACTCAAGTATTGTTGCTTTGTCTCCTTAAACTACAGATAAAAAACAACTCTCGCAGTTTTTTTTCAAGAGATGGTGTGGGGTGGTCATACTCAGTGGTGTTCAGAGCTTAATCCTGCTTCTGTGCCATGAGATCACTCAAGGTGTGGTTGTGGGGATGATGGAAGGACAATATATGTGTTTTCAAGGATCTAACCTCAGCAAGTGCCTTGTCCATCTTGCTGGTCCTTCTTGAAAGTTTTCATCACTTCCTTTATGTCAATCTTTAGGGAGCTGCTTGGCTCCAAGAGACTTAGAAACCTAGATAAGTTAGCAAAGGTGAAATAGAGCAAGACTTGTTGATAACAGCAAAAAAAGTCCTAGAACTTCGATTTGCTGTATACCTTCTCTTTCTTTCCTTAACCTCCTGTTTTCCATGTAGCACTGTAGCACTGTCCTGTTGTTCATCGATTTGCTCGAGCGGACCTAGTAACGTCTCCATTGTGAGACTTGTTGTTACTGTGCTTGGCATATTGAATACATCATGGGTAGCTTGCCAGGCTTTGCTGTGCGGATGAGGTACTCTCGGTAGCTTGCTGGGCTCTCTGAGAGGGGCAGAGGAATCGAACTCCCATCGGCCAGGTCTGTTGCGTGCAAGGCAAATACCCTGCCTGCTGTCCTATTGCTCCAGCCCCCTGTTTTCCATATGTTTATGAAAACAAAGACCATAGAGTTGCAGTAAAGCCAGTAGGGCACTTGCCTTGTATGCTACCAGCTCAGTGTTGGTACCAACCACCACAGATGGTCCAAATAGCACCTACAGGAGTGACCTCTGAGTACAGAGCCTGGAGGAAGACCTGGGCACAGCTGGATGTGGCCCTAAAAACAAGAAAAGGAAGACCATATAGCCCAATTGTCAAAGAAACCTAATTTATTATAGAGTATAGTACAACTGCTTGGGAAAACACGTATACTCTCTCCCTCTCTCATACACACACACCCACAAACACACACACACACACACACACACACACACATATCAGAGAGAATATTTTAACCTGCAAATAGAGCTATAGATAACAAACTCTTGTTTAAAGATGGCTGCTCATATTTTCAAAGGTTCATTTCTGGGTTATTAATACAGTTATTAATTTTTGGGGGGTGATCACACCTGGTGATGCTCAGCAATTACTCCTGGTTCTGCACTTAGGAATTACTGGTGGTGCTCAAGGGATCAAATAGGATGCCTGGGATTGAACTCAGGTAGCCGTGTGAAATGCCCTACCCACCATATTATCGCTACAGTCCCAAATTATCAATTTCCTTTTTAAAAAAATATTCAGTGGGAAAAAAACACTAAAATGGATTCATTTGAGATATTTGAAATAGTTCTGCAATTGTTAATGAACTGGAATTTTTCCAGATATAATGAGCTGGAATTTTCCAGATAGTTTTTGTCACATCATATAGATACTCCTTTGGCTACTATTAGTATCTCTTATGCTCTTGCTAATATTAGGAGAAATTACCTTGATTGAATAGCATTTTTTGGATTTTTATACTTGTCTTTTTAATATATATGTGAATGATTTTATATGAATAGAAATATAGCTCTTACATTATTTTGATATTTATCAGGTCTGTGGATTTAAATTTTCTTCCATCAGTTGATCCTGAAACAGTTCTTCAGACAGGTAAGATGGAAAAGTATGCTTATTAGTGATAGTCATAATCAATACATTGATTGGTTCATAAAATGATTATTGACAATGTTATTATGTAGTAGGCACTTAAGGGAAAGTTTTCAAACTTTTTTTGGTCTAGCCTAATGTCATACTAAAGTATATTTTGAAAGATTATAACATTTAAATGGCTTTTCCCTCAAAATACCTGGTATAATTTCCTTATCTATGAATTGGAGATAAAAAATTATATTTCAGTGGTAGCTTTGAGGACTATTTAATACGCATTATGTTCTAGCCTTAATTTTTTTCTATATTTTCATATTTTGGGGAGCGGAGTTCGGCTGCCAAGGCTGGGTCCCTTGGGGCGGGGAGGGCTCTCACCTGCCCCACTCTGGGGTACCCAGAGTAAAAACAGCTTGGCGCAGAGTCTCAACCACCACCATGCTCCAGGCCTCTTTCCAGACACTCTGACCAAGCCTCATGCATGAAAGAAGTTCCATGGAACCTAGGTAATGTGAAACTTTGTGACCTTGGAATCTGGACTCAACAGGTTCCCGGGAACAGAGATCCTTTGCCTGCTTCCCCCAGTCTCCAGTGACCCAGGGATCACATCCATAAGCCACACCCTGCCAGCACCAGATAATCTCCTCATCAGCCACCCTCAAGAACTCACTGCTGCTCCTCCCAGACAGGAGCATAAAAGGAAACTCCCATAGCCATGCCACCGGACTCTACACCAGGCTGTTTTCACTCAGGGCACCCCAGAGTGGGGCGGGTGAGAGCCCACCCCACCCCAAAGGACCCAGCCCCTGCAGCCGACCTCCACTATCCAACTGCCGCCACACTCCAGGCCACTTTCTGAACCACACAGCTGTGACACTTTCTACCCATTTTCCATAATTTCCACACCATATTTGATGGTGTTCAGACAGTAGGCAACAAATCATAGAGAGAACTATACAAATATATGCCTCTCAGAGAGCCCAGCAAGCTACCAAGAGTATCCTGCCCACTCAGGCAGAGCCTGGCAAGCTCCTTGTGGTATATTCGATAGACCAAAACCATTAACAACTGGTCTCATTCCCCTGACTCTGAAAGAGCCTCCAATCGTTGGGAAAAGACGAGTAAGAAGAGGCTGCTAAAATCTCAGGGCTGGGAGGAATAGAGACGTTACTGGTGCCCGCTTGAGTAAATCGAAGAACAACGGGATAACAGTGATACAGTGATTTTCATTTTTTATTATTCTAATACATTCTGCAGTACTTAAGTATTATTTGCTCCATTTTGTACTTGAGGCTGTAAGGTTTAGAAATGGAAAATAACTTATTCAAGATAAAGTACTAAGTTCTGTCACCATAGCTCAGGAGTATAAATGCCAAATCTCAGCAGTGTTGTTTTACAGTCATGTCTGACTAAAGACACACAGCACATTGCAGTGGCCTTGCACGTACTAAGGTCTGTTCTATATGGCAAACATATTCCAGCCCAAATGTCTCTAATGGTGGTTTCTAGCAAAACAAATTGGAAATTTTTAAGTGAAATACCTTAATTTATTATTTTTTGTAGTTTTTCTAGTAATTGCTCGCAATTCCAATCCAGCTGTGTACCCAGTACACAGTACTCTACTAAGCACTTACATATGGTAGCATATTTCCTTCATACAACTCAATGGAATTTTTATTCCTGTTATTCCAAGTTTTTGTTTTGTGTCCATTTGTCGGGGACATTTTGAACATTTCTCTGAGGCTGGCTGGGTTGTAGCCCAGTTCAGAGACCTTCTCATGCAAGACTTGAAACCCAGGGCCACAGAATTGCAAGGCAAGTGCTCAGCTATTTGAGCTATATCCTAGTTCTGGTGCCTCAAATGTATAAATAGGAAATTGAAGCATAAAATGGATAAGTAACTAACTCAGGTTATTCGTGGTTGAATGCTGACATTGGGACTTGAACTAAGACAGTTTAGTTTCAAACTATGTTCTTTGTTATCATGATGTGGTTCTGCTTTTCTGTGGTAGTGATTTCATAGGAGAATATTAAGGTAACATTTGTAAAAGTGAAAAAGAAGGGGGAAGGAGAAATAAAGGAAAAGAGAATTTATTCTGATCTTAATGACTTCTTGAATAGATATGAAGGCTTTACATAAATCTTTAAAATAGGTGTTCTTATTGTAAAAGTAATGAAGACTAAGGAAATAAATCCTGAATAACTTCATTGTGTTGATTTTTTTTCTATTTCTTTTCCCTTTTTAATATGAATCTTATTTAAATTCACAAGAATGAAATGAGAAGATAAAGTAGATTATTAGTAAAAAAAATGCTGCTCTAGATTTAAATTTTAATTCCATGTTATTTTTCATATCTTTTGGGGGGGGTTGATTTTTGTATCTCTCTTGCGCTGAAACTTGAACCTAGAGCCTCACACATACAGCGAGCCTTCTCTCTGTTGCTAAGTCACATCATAGCTCTTATATTTGAGATTTGGAAAGTTCCTTAGGGCATTAAATTAAGAAGATTTTAAAATTTGCATTTAAAAATTAGCTATTAAATATGCTACTAAGCCCTATATATTGCCTCTTTCATCTGACTATCTTTGAAAAGCAGAATGTGACTGACTACTAGGGCTGGAGTGATAGTACTGCAAGTATGATGTTTGCCTTGTACACAGGTCAATTCCCAGCTCCTGGTGTGGTCCCTTGAGCCCACGAGGAGTGATCCCTGAGCATGAGTCAGGAGTAATCCCTGAGCACTGCTGAGTATGGCAAATTATAATAATAATAATAAGGAACTAGAATGAAAAATGGGAATATGTTACTTTATGAATATTAATTCTGAGTATCTTTCATTTGTAAAGGTCATGAATTGTTATCCGAATTACAGCAGCGGCGGTTTAATGGGTCAGATGGAGGGGTCTCGTGGTCTCCCATGGATGATGAGCTGCTTGCACAGCCACAGGTTATGAAATTGTTAGATTCACTGCGAGAGCAATATACCCGTTACCAGGAAGTTTGCAGACAAAGAAGTAAGCGTACACAGTTAGAGGAGATTCAACAGAAGGTGATGCAGGTAGGTATCAAATAATACTCCAATTCTGTCTGGATTTTGTAGGGGATGATGAACAAGCTCTATCAGGAGGGTTTTGGAGATAATTTCCATGAGTTATTTTCTACTGCTTGTTCATACTGAGTTGAATAATGAAATGATTTTCAATTGTTCATTTTTATAATTGTAATTTGCATTAAAATGACTTTATTTGTACAATGAAAACATTGTAAATCATGCTACCAAAAAGAGTCTCAGTTAAACCTAGTTGGTAGAACATCATTCGTTGTCTCAGTTTACCTTACAAGAAATAATTCATCTTTTCATTTACCCTTAATTTATAAGAACTTGTTGGTTATTTTTTGTTAATTTCACCCTTTTGGAGAGTTTTTCTATGTAAGATATATATAATTATAATATTGCATCTCATTATTTTGTGATGCTGAAAAAAACTGTTCAGTATGTTCAGTGCTTATTAATTAGGCATTTTTGATGTTTATGAATGTCTTTTAAATTTGTTTTTGTAAGAAAAGTACACCTCTTTGGTGGGAACCATACCCAGGAGTGCTCAGGGCTTATCCCTGGCCTAGGACTCACTCCTGGCAGAGCTCAGGGAAAACCTGGGGGTTGAATCTGAGTCTGCCACTCTGACGCTTGCAAGGCAAGCACCCTAACAACTATAATTTTGCTCCAGCCCCCACAACACCCTTCTTTAAGTAGTATTTTTATACTGAGATACTGAATATTAACACTAGTCAGCTATTTCTGGTAGATTATTTTATGGGTTTCCAAGAAATATGTAAGTATTTTACTTAGAAAAATGCCAATTAAGGGGATGTGGCTCAGCAGTAGAGCACTTGCCTATGTGAGTCCCTGGGTTCTATCTCCAGCACAGAAATTAAGAAAAAATAAAAGCAAAAAAAAAAACCCCTAAAAATGTTCTAGCATGTTAATCTAGTTTCATTCATCCACTAATAATTATTTATTAAGTTCTCATTATCTAGAAGATATTGTGCTTACTTTTCGTTCTTTGAGAGGTTTGGAGGTTATACCTGGTGGTACTCAGAGCTTACTCTGGCTCTGTGCTCAGGGTTCACAGGGACCATATGCAAGTTCTGAAAATAGAACAGTGGGCCACATGCAAGGCAGTTTTCTTAATCCCAGTACTATCTCACTAGCTCCCAGCACTTTTTTTGCATAGCACCAAGACTTCCTTTCCAAGCTCTCCCTTCCTTGTCCACTGATCAAGTTTCTTTTGTTCGGGAATTTTTGTTGATGAGCTTCCCTCCTTCCCACACTTCCATTTTGGGGCTCCACCTAGCAATGCTTAGGGCTTATTCCTGGTTCTGTGCCCAGGGATGATTCCTGGCAGGACTCAGGACCACAGGTGATGCTGGGAATCAACCAGGACCAGTTGCCTACAAGGCAAGCACCTTCTGTACAGCAGATAGGTAGACCTGATTTATTTGATTTCACTTTTGTAAATCTAAGAGTTTGGGAAAGTGCTGTGTTACAAAGGTGAGACTAAAGACTTTTTTTAAAAATTTTAAGCAAATGTTCTTCTTAGACATAAGTGATCTACAGTAGAGGATGTAGCGATTGCACTGTCTTTCAAGGATGTCTAAGATTTCACTAGGACCTCTTGTAGGTTCTAAAAGAGAACTAGCATTTTGAGGAGGAAGAAACAATAGCATCATGAAATCCTAAATTCTGTTGAAGGAGAAGGAGAAGTTAACTCTGCAAAGATTTTGGCCTTTGAGACAGACTGTAAGCAGAGAGCCCAATCTGATCTCAACTCCTCCATTTATTTACTTCACCCACCAGTACTTTTATACATGGAGTTTTCTTTCTTCATGTTCCTCTCCCCCTTTTCCTTAACCAGTTAGACTAGGGATAATGAGATCTCTTTTGGAAGGTCTGTTGATAGAACCTAACACTTAGGAGTAATTTTTATGTTCATTTCCACTGAACCAGTCTCTAGCATAGTAGTCTAATTTAATTGTTTGCAAACTTTCTTATGACTTTGGAATCTTACCTTTTTTTGCAGTTATCTGTTTAACTTGGCCATTGTAGTGCATAGACAGTATATAAGCAAATGTGCCTGACTGCACCATAATAAAACTTTACTTACAAAGGTAAATGGCAGGGCATAATCAAGCACTTCAGTATGAACACCCTGGCAAATAACTCTCCCATAACACTGCCCAAATGGTTGGAGAAAGTCTGGGTTCTGCCCCACGATGTACAGTCCCTTTCCACAGTGTCAGCATTCTGGCCTTGAGATTGCATCTACGCTTTCTTACACCTTCTCAGAGTCCAGTGGACAGTGACTGAGAAGACAAACCACACAGGAAATATTTAAGAAGAAAAATAGCAACAACAACAACAAAGTAAATGGTCTGCAGGCTTTCGTGTGCTGGTGTCTGCTGGGAGCATGAGACTGTCTTAGGGAGGAATACTTGAAAGGGAAGAAGGAGTTGGAGCATAAAAGATGTTGTTGTTTTAATGTGAATATAATAAAGTCTACCATATACTTTAACTTATAAAAGTAGAATTTTTTTAGTGGCTTATCCTTTAAAAAAATACTCTGAGGGCACTCAGGGGGTGGTCCCGATGGCTCTTCTCCTGGCCACCCAGGTCTGGGGGGCCTGGGCCGCCCCCCCCCCCCCCAGCCAGGGCAGCCCAGGCCCATGGGGCAGATGGTGAATGAAACGAGGGCCAAGCCAGTTGATTGATCAGATGCCGTTTATTCCATTCTCATTCCCAGTCACTCCTGTCTGTCTGTCTCTCTCTCTCTCTCTCTCTCTCTCTCTCTCTCTCTCTCTCTCTCTCTCTTCTTCTCTCCCGGCCCCCAATCTGGACCCCTCTTTCCTGACTCTGGATCATGACCTCGCACTTGATCTTCTCCCCAAGCCCACTCTTACAGTCTAGTTAAATCCCCACAACCTTGAGGGGCTGGATTTACACACAGGTGTAGTTATAGACAATAGGTGTAAAATTATTTCCCTCAGGGGATGCTGCTTCTAGGACAGATTCTCTTTCAGCAGGATGACCCACCCAAGGACAGAATCCCATGAGTGTGTTTCTCCTCTCCTTGTCCAATGAACATATAAGCATTCATAATATTAATCATTTTGTATGGACACAGTCGGAGATTCATTAAGCTTATAGAATTGCTCTCCTGGGATCATCTTGATCTCAGGCTACAGTGCTCAGGCCAGATTAGTCTTTCCTATTCTAGCAGGGTCCTAGTCTCATCATTACTTTTGGATTATGACAGCATTTGTCATTATCAAGCTCTTAACTTATAGTTAAGAGTTGTGGCGCTTTGACCAGGCCCATCTCTATGCCAGGGTAGCACATAGCTTACCGCTTGCCCTGGTTCCATCCAGTCCCACGTCGGGACCCTGCTTTTGGAGGCGCTAGGAAGTGAGGGCAACTGAGGCTTAAGTTGAGAAAGCAGATGCCCGGGAATGAATAATATTAGAAGCCAATTAAATCTCAAGTTACAAAAGCATAAGACTAATTGTCTTCTTGTGTTTATACAAAAGGATATTGCCTTAAGGTAAACAATTCAAAAGACATGAGAGGAGAAAAGCAATATTAACTTATTATACAAGTTCAGTGTCTTAGAAAGATCTGACCTTACAAATTAACAGAATCTGATTAGGGGAATAAGTTGATTAACTGTTTGGGGAAGAGAGCATAGAGAAGTAGTTACAAATAAACAAAAGAATGAGAGTGACTCAGGAGCACTGGCATGGGTGTGACCCGATAAACCTAAGCTACCTGAGGAAGGACAAAACAGTGTTATCCTACAATAGACTTTGGGTAGTGGAGGTGGAATGACTTTGTACATCAAAATTATAAACATTAACTCTATTGCAACCATGTTACCTTAATGATAATAATTTAAAAAAAATAAGATAGTACAGAGAGATAGTAGAGGGGTTGGGGCATTTGCCTTGCTTGTAGCCAACCCAAATTTGATCCTCAGCATCCTAGATGGTCCCTCAAACCCTGCCAGGAGTAATTCTTGAGGGAAGAACGAGGGTGTGAGCTTGGCTTAAGATCACTGGGTGTGGCCCAAAAACTACCACCACCACCAACAACAAGAATAATAAAAAACAGAGAGGATAGAAGTTAACATACTAGCATTATATGTGACTATATAACATGAAACCTTGTATGTGATCCTGATTTCATCCCTGGCACCAGATATGGTCCCCAAACATTTCCAGGAGTGAAGCCTGAGTAGAGCCAGGAGTAAACCATGAGAACTACCAGGTGTGGTCCCCAAACAAAAAATAGTTTAAAATAATAAAATATTATATAGGAGAAATCAATATCTGTAATTGATAAAACATAAGAAAAGTATTCACAGTTCAGTTGGTAGCATGAGACTTCATAGGATTAGTCTAGGTTTTCCATGCTATTTTTGCTACATTTAAAATTAAAATTTGGGGGCTGGTGTGTTGCATGAATATTCTTTTGGTCGGAGGTGCAGAGACAAGACACACGAGAGGAATGTAGAGAGCATGGAGGGCCAAGGTGTTGATCTGACTCAAGGTGAAGAGCAACTGTCAGAGACCTCCTTTTATTCTATTTTTTAATCAGTTACATCCTAATGACTTCATCACAGAGAAGGAATCACTAACAAGAGTATTAATAGATATAGGATGAGCATTTGTCAAAAGAACATCAGGGTATACATTGTCTTGCCAAAGCTATGTTATCAAAGCTATGTTGTAATGATTAAAACATCAGAGGAGGATTAGGAGTGGACACGTAGGCTCTACAAATTATGTCCCTCACTTTCTTTTTTGTTGATTACACATAGGGCAAAGAGAAGGCTCATACTGATACCTAAGGTTTAAAGCAGTTAAGGATGTGTAAGAGAGGGGGAAACTGCTGCCTTGTACTGCCAAGATAATGTATGACCAGGTGGGCATAAAGAGTATGCTGTACTTCTCCAGATCATCTGGACTCACAGGTTTAACTTGCCCACTTACTCAAAATGGGGCATATTAGTTCTGCTTCCTGCTTGCAGGGCAGCGTCCAGAGGCTAGTCCTAATGTCCTGGCTTAGTACTAACACTGGTACAATAGTATACCAGGTAGGATGCTTGCCTTCTACTCAGATGACCAGGGTTGGATCCCCGGCATCCTTTATGGTCCCCTGAGCACCGCCAGGAGTGATTCCTGAGTTAGGTCCGGAGTAAACCCTGAGCACCACCAGGCGTGACCCAAAAACAAACAAAACTTAGAATTTTACATGCTTCTGGGGAGGAAATGAACCTTCTCCACTGGGGAGAAAATGATCCTTCTTCACTGAAAAATTTCATCATTATTCTTAGTATTTAATGTAATTACTGCCTGCACAGCAAGTGTTATTTCTAGAATCATCCAGGTGCGTTTTTTCCCATTATAGAAAGGAACCAAAGATGGAGCCTCTGAGAGGTATAATTGCACAGCTGTAGAAGGCAGTGGCCCCTATTTCTCCATCTTCTTTTTCTGGTTATAAGCTGACATCCCCTTTGTTTAACATGCCCCTCTGCCTGATGTGGCCTCAGATACTTCCAGGTATTCTCTCATTCATTCCTTAGATACCAGCCTAGAAACAAATGATGCATAGTCATAGCACAGCGGGTAGGGCGTTTGCCTTGCACGCAGCCAACATGGCCGACCCGAGTTCGATTCCTCCACCCCTCTCGGAGAGCCCGGCAAGCTACCAAGAGTATTCGATATGCCAGACACAGTAACAACAAAGTCTCCAATGGAGACGTTACTGGGCCCACTCGAGCAAATATAACACTTAAGTTTTGGCAAATATTTGTCATGACAGATTGTAAGAGCACAACATGAAGGCTGTACTTTGCAAATAAATGTAACCCTTTGAGGAGTCACATTGATATGGATTGGGCACAGTACGTTAATATTCAGATTGACTATGAGATGTCCTGATTAAAATTAAGTTTTATTACTCAGCTTGGCAAGCCACCATCATTAATGCATTCAAATAGACTTGTTTATTGGGGCATCAACCTCAATTTGCATCATTTTTATTAGAAATAGCATGCATTTACTGTATCTACAGTTCTGATGTTGCATACTAAGGAAAATTACTTTCAGCTAACATTAAGAATATATATTCACTGACTATGTAATGATATCTCATCAGTGAGATAGCTTTGCTTAATTGAAAATTCATTTTTTTAATTTTTGACTTTTTGAAAGCTTCATGCTAATGATTTTTTTCTGGTTTTGTTTTTTATTACTCTGCTTCTTTGGTTTTCATAGTATGCCCAAACAAAATACTTAAATGTTTATAAATTATGTTGGGCCAGAGAGATAGCATAGCATGTAGGGTATTTGCCTTGCACGTGGCCAACCTGAGTTTGATTCCTCCACCCCTCTCGGAGAGCCTGGCAAGCGACCGAGAGTATTCTGCCCACACGGTAAAGCCTGGCAAGTTACCGATGACATATTTGATATGCCAAAACAGTAACAAGTCTCAGAATGGAGACATTACTGGTGCCCACTCAAGAAAATTGATGAACAATGGGGACGACAGTGCTACAGTGCTAGATGATGTCATCTTGGGTTTAAAATATATACTAGGGCCAGAGCAATATTAAAGTGGATAAGGTGCTTGCATACTGCCAGCCTGGATTTGATCTCCAGTATCCCATATGGTCCCCTGAGCACCACCAGGAGTAATTCCTGAGTGCAGACCCAGGAGTAACCCCTGAGCATTGCTTGGTGGCCCAAAAACAAAATAACAACAATAACAAAGTATGTGTATTTGTGTGTGTGTGTGTGTGTGTGTGTGTGTATTTTCACACTTTTAGGACTTAGATATTTCAAGTAAAATAATCACATTGTTTAAAATACTTAAATGACTTTTTATATGTTTTTGTATTTATATCATAATATATAGTAATGTGAAGCCATTGGGTACCCTCAAAAATATAAATGGGAAATCGTTTCAGAATGTTTTCATAAGGTCCTTTAAAACTTGATTTTTTATTCTAGTTTTAGAAAATATTGAATAGGGCCAGGTAAATTGTCCAAATTGTAGAGCAAGTCCTGAGTTTGATCCCCACCCCCCACCCCTTCCCTACTGCCTTAGATTTGATAGGTGCAGTCTGGGTATTCCATCACCCTTGAGCTGTACCAAGCCCAGGCACTGAACCTGAAACTGCACCTGAACCCTCAGGCCTGCACTTCTGAGTCAGCATTCCTGTACTTCTGAGTCAGCATTGCTATGACAGGTCCTGGCTCACCCACTCACTTCAGTGTCTGGGTGTGGACCCTATTCTTGAAAAAAGAACAGAACAGTTCAAGAATTTCTTTAAGAAAGTTAGGCATCTTGGCATAAATGGTAGGTGTGAGACAAACTTTGTAAGGAGGGACTAGATAAAAGGAATACTCCAAGAAATAAAGCACCACATATGCTCCCTCGAGTGCTGCAGTGAGTAACCCTAAACACAGAGCAAGAAATAAGCCCTGATTACAGCCAGGTGTGGCCCCAAATAAACACAAAAATAATATATATGCATATGTATGTACACATGTGCAATAATATATGCACTTACATACATGGAGGTATTTCTGTTTCTTTCAACTGGCAGAATTATTTTAAAAGTAATAATCTGCTTGCATATCTTACAAAGGTTATTCTACACTTAAAAGTTCCATTACTTAGATGTTTCAAATATAACAAACTATTTTAGAGAGCAGTTTTATAATATATATATATATACACAAACATTTACTAACATTATATCACTGTGCCCAAGAAGGTCTCTATTAGAAAGTTTTTCATTAGAAAAAAATCAGAGGAAAAATGCTATTAACTGATAGGTATATGAATATATATGCATATGTTCAGCATAAGATTACTTAGAATTGCTAGTGATTGGAATCATTCTAATAGTAAATCAGTCTTCAAAACAAAACACATATAATAGTTATTTGATATGGTACATGACTTAATTAGCCCTTAGTAAGTGTTGATCAGTTGGCCTGATAGAGGGGAAGGAAGACATTTTTTAAAAAGAGATTTGCAGTCATTGGGAATTAATAACATTTGTAGCCACATAGAAAATCATTTTAGTATTCTAGTTTGTTAAGTGAAAAACACAGGACAGAAATTTCTCTTTTTTATAAGAATTAGCAGCTCTTAAGTCTGGAATAACATAAAAAAAAACCTACTATACTTGTGAAAAATTAAGGAAATATACCTAATTTTCTCTATGATATACTTTTATACAATTAAAGATTTGATGTACTGTTGGATTTTTTAATGATGTATTTTAGTCTTGGTAACAAAAATGCACTGTTGCATAAAGGTCTATAGTGTTAAGCCTCATAGACACTTAGGCTCTTCTTGGCAATTGTCCTGATTTTAAATTTAGACTAAAACCTACATGCATGTGTTGTTGAATTTTATTCTGATTTATTAACAAATACAGATTGAATTTTTTTTTAGTTTAAATTACTGTCTGTAGTTTTGGAGCATACATTTATGAATAAAAACAGGTTCACACAAAACCATTTCTGGTTCTGTCTGAGAATTAATCTTCACTATCTAATCTAGTGCTTTTCTCCCAGAAAGCCTGATAAAATTGGAATGTAACTGTGTTACTTGCCAACATTCTGTATCTGGATTGGTAGAATTAGAAATACATGATGGGAGGCATGCTTTGTGTATCCCTGAGTTCAGTGACTAGAATAATGAGCACAGCTCCTGTGGATGTGAAATTTTGAGGCCAGAGCTTCTCCTCTGTCTGCCCCACGTAGTTCACGTATTCTTATATCAGAACCATTGGGTTGCTGCAGAGACTTGGCAAAAGAAAATTGCCACATGTTATTGACCTGGTAAATTGTGCCACATTACGTCATTCTGAGTACACCAGCACCTGTGGGGCTGCTGATGGATGTGTGTGTGTGTGTGTGTGTGTGTGTGTGTGTGTGTGTGTGTGTGCGTGTGTGCGTGCGCGCGCGCGCGCATGTATTGATCCTCAGGTCCCTTCACTCTACAGTTTTTAGAGTGAGAAATTAGTATTTGATTTTATGATTTGCAGTGAATCTACTTAATGTTATCAGTGCTTTAGGAAGAACATTAGATTGAATCAGGACATGTGACTTTGGGTCCTAGTTTTTCAATAATGGATTATGTTACCTTAAGCAAGTTTTTAATTCAAAACCCAATTTTCTTATTCCACATACATTTTCGTCCTCACTTATCGGAGCATTCAGAATGCTTTTTAACCTAGCAGTAGATCAGATATCTAAGAGCCTAAGGTGCTTCTCAGTACATTCATCCAAACCTAGGTTTTAAAGAAGTTATCATATGATAGTTCCATAGTTCAAAAAGAAACACGTACTGCCCACATTATAGAATTTAAAGAATTTAAACAACTTCAGGAGCTGGGGGTAGTTGGGGAGGGGGAACCCATTCTGATCAAAATTTGAAAATCTTTTGATCATTTTATGATTTTATGTTAACTTTCATCTGTAGGTTGTAAACTGGCTTGAAGGGCCTGGATCAGAACAACTACGAGCCCAGTGGGGGATTGGAGACTCCATTCGGGCCTCCCAGGCCCTACAGCAGAAGCACGAAGAGATTGAGAGCCAGCACAGTGTGAGTAGCTTTATTCATGCAGTGACAGCGCTGTTACCAAAGTGCTTGATGAGCAGCATGAGTAGTCCCAAGTACACATTGGTATAAGGACAAGATGCAGTCTGTTTAATGTTTGGGGGTCATCAAGTACAGTTTGACTTTTAGGTACATACTCATTGATAGGTTGGTTTTGGTTTGGTTCCAGTTAAATTATATATATTTTGTAGGAATGGTTCCTGGGGGACAGTATGAAAAAATTGTGACCAAAGCAAGTGACAACAGAAATGATAAAAGAAAGACTGATAGTATATGGACCCTTCATCTGTGGTTCCTGGGAAATTGAAATTTCTGCAGGTCTCAGAGGAAGGCCCTCCCTGCTCTGGGGGAATGTACAGTACAATGAAATGCCTGCGAGTACTTCCAGAATTGTTTGATTAAATGCAACTGACAGAAAGTAAGTCGGGAGAGTGTAGGATTTCTTTCCTTTCTTTGTACATTTAAGGGTTCGCATTTGTCATTGTATAAGAACTGATTTAAAAGAAACAAAACATCACATCACAGATATGAAACCGGGAAATAAATTCACTAGTATGCATATTTTGGAGAATAATTATTAAGAGCCTTATGTTTAGGGAATTGTTTTACAGATGCAAACTTGTTTTCCTGATGCAAACTTAACCACTTCTTACTAAATTGTGGATAGATTGAATGAAAAGTTGAAAAATAAAACTAATTCTAATTTTTAAGTTCTTATGCTACTGATACTTAGAATTGATCAATTTATACACATACACAGGGTCTCCATTTTATCCAACTATTAGGTGACAGGAGGAATAAAACATTTCCCCATAAATAGATATGGAAATAAGCTAGCCTCTATCCCCAGATGCATCTCAAAATGATTATAATAGACTTTTAATAGATTTATTTATTAATTTGAAAAGACCTTTTATATTGAACTTTGTCAGCAGCACCCCGCATAACTAATAGCAAACACCCCCTGTCTGGGAGGATGCTGGTAGGGCCCAGGAAGTTCAGAGTAGCCTTGGATGTATTAGGAAGCACTGGATACTTTCTATTCTCTGAAAATGGGTTGGTAGGATGGATGAATAAGTTTGAGAATTTCTGACCCAGATGAACAACAGTGAAAAAAATAAAACTGCATAGTATTTTTAAACTTGGCCCTGATGAAGTTGAAGGATTATCTGAATATATTTTTGTGATCATATTCTTTCTGCATCAGCTTCCCCAAGTGATGGCACTAAGAGTTAGCTAGTGTTCATAAATGCATATTTTAAATAAATGAGGTTAAAGAGTGAATATTGAATATATTTTTCTTGAGAATGGGTTTTGGTTGTTCAGCTGGTGTCAGTAATTGAACATTGAACTCTATAGGTTTTTCCAGGAAATATTACTTTAGTATAACTTAAAACTTGTTTCTCTTTAGTTCTCGAAGTATCCTTTGGTATTTGCTATAGGATGTTCTAGATTAATCTGAGTGTTTAGTTGTTAAAGCAACCTCAGCGTCCCTTAAATAAGAGATATATGAGGATCCTAAAACCAAGACTTATCTGTTATTTTTAAAAGATGTCAAGAGAAATAACTGTAGCTAGAAATTGAATACATATAAAATTCACAAAAGGAATTGAAGTCATCATTTTAAATTGGCATGTAGTATAGGTAAAATTGCAAATGGTATACATAGATTTTTTGTGTCATGTTTGTTTTTTATTTTAATTTTATTTGGGAGTGCTGGAGAGATAGTTCAGTGTGTTAGGTACTTCCATTGCACACAGCTAACCCAGATTTAATACCAAGCACTGCATGTATTCCCCTAACATTTCAGAAGTTCCCTTCACAGAGAGAGGAGTAAATCCTGAGCACTGGCCAAGTGTGGCCCACCCCACAAAAGATGGCTTGTTTAAATTTTATTTTATAGGGTTTTAAAATCTCATTTAAAAAAAATGACTGGGCTGGAGCAATAGCACAGCAGGTAGGGCGTTTGCCTTGCACGTTGCCGACCTGGGTTTCATTCCTCCATCCCTCTCGGAGAACCCAGCAAGCTACCAAGAGTTTCCCGCCTGCACAGCAGAGCCTGGCAAGCTCCCCATGGTGTATTCGACATGCCGAAAACAGTAACAACAGGCCAATATGCCAAAAATAGTAACAAGTCTCACAATTGGTTGTGAGATGTTACTGGTGCCTGCTCGAGCAAATCGATGAACAACGGGAGGACAGTGCTACAGGGTTTTAAAATAAAATACACAATTTTCTCATGACAGTGCTACAGGGTTTTTAAATAAAATACACAATTTTCTCATGAGTAGCCCTTCCCGTGTGCTTAAATTTACTTAAAACATGAAGTCAGTATCAGAATTTTTTAGTTGGAAAAGGTTTTTATAATTACTCTAATAGCATAACCTTATTTAATATATGCGGAAATTGGGAGATTGTGTTTTTGAATAATGAGTAGATAGACTGTGTAAAATACTGATTTCTTAATACTCAGATGAAATCTTCCTTCTCTTTTCCTCCCCCTCCATTTTTTCTCTACCTCTTTCCCATTCTTCTTTTGAAAAAGTCACTGTCACTGTCACTGTCCTCCCGTTGTTCATCGATTTGCTCAAGCGGGCCCAGTAACGTCTCCATTGGAGACTTTGTTGTTACTGTGTCTGGCATATCGAATACGTCACGGGGAGCTTGCCAGGCTCTGCCGTGCGGGCGAGATACTCTCGGTAGCTTGCCGGGCTCTCCGAGAGGGGCAGAGGAATCGAACTCGGGTCGGCCATGTTGGCTGCGTGCAAGGCAAACGCCCTACCTCTGTGCTATCGCTCCAGCCCAGAAAAAAGAAAAAAAAACACTACTAAATTCATGTGCCTGGTGAAGAGAGAGAATTTTTTTATATTTCCCGTACCCCTATAACTTCTGTTATTGTGATGAGTAGGGGTTGTGCACATCAGTTGTAGTGCTTGTACATACTTGTTTGCAATTGCAAAGAATATCACACACTTTCTAGTGACATCAGTGATCTCAAACAGTGCCTCCAAGATCTCACTTCATATGTCACATGATTCAAGGGATCAAACTTGAAACCTCATGCCTGTAAGGTAAATGCTGTCCCACTGAGCTCTCCCGAAGCCCTCATTCTTACCAATCAATGTGCATACATTAATGTTTGCTTCCTTGAACATGATTCCCAAAGGAAAGCAACATTGATGAATTTGTGTGGATTCTTTTAACGGTGATACCTGTGGTTTGTTTTAAAATTGATAAGTAGAGCCTGAGTAATGGGAGTATAGGGAAAAGGGGTTGATCATGAGTTGATAATAATTGGAATTGGAGGATACCGTGGGATTTCATTATACTGCTCTTTATCCTTTTGAGTAGATGTGAAATTTCCCATTCTAAAACTTTGCTAAAGAGAATAGCATTGTGTCCACCGATAGGTGGCACTGCATCACCTTGAGACTAGGTTGTTCTAGGATGAGGTGTTTATGTTTAAGATAGTCTGATATTATATTACAAACTTTCCTTTCTCTTCGTAAGTCAAAACCAACTCTCTATAGCATGAATTGAAATATTCCAAGTCTTAGGATTTTCTAATGACGAATATTGATAGCGTAGAGGTAGAATTTGAAAGGACTTTACATACCATTTTATATTAAAAAGTACTGTCAAGTGTTAGCTATTCTATTCTTCACAAAATCATAATTCATAAGTAAAGCTAAAAATAAACTTTAAGATATTAAGTGCTAATACTAGAAAATGAAAATTCTACTGGCATGTCATTTTTTGATAAATGAGAGTCAACTTAGATTCTGAATGCTAGATAAATAAAACAATAATATTGCAGTATATCAAAATGACTACAGTAATTTAAGATATAAATTACTTTAGTTTAATAACAAATTATGTTTGAAGCTTATATTTAGAAGTAGGTATTGTAGTAAAAGTCTATGATAGAAATTTTCAAGAGCGTAGTCAGCTCCATGTGACTGGTAGTTTACTATTTGTTCATACTATATTGAATTTTAAATTGATTTTTAGTTATACAGATTTTACAACTATAATTTTCATTAAAAAATATTTCTATGGGACGATAGCACAACAGTAGGGCATTTGCCTTGCACGTGGCCAACCCGACCGACCCGGGTTCAGTTTCTCTGTCCCTCTCGGAGAGCTACCAAGAGTATCTCACCCGCATGGCAAAGCCTGATAAGCTACCCATGACGTATTCGATATGCCAAACACAGTAACAACAAGTCTCAAAATGGAGATGTTACTGGGCCCACTTGAGCAAATCGTTGAACAACTGGAGGACAGTGACAGTGACAGTGCGATGACATTTTATTTTATTTTTTTTCAAACTTTGTCTTCAATATAGCTTATGGATTCTGGTCTGATGTTGAGGTCTTTAATCCATTTTGATCTTACTTTTGTACATGGTGCTAGGCAGAGCTCTGAGGCCACTTTTTTTTATTTAATCATTTTTTTTATTAGTGAAACACCATGAGGTACATTTATAGACTTATAAATTTTTGTGCTTGGGTTTCAGTTATACAATGATCAAGTATCCATCCCTCCACCAGTGCCCATCCTCCCCCACCACGGGTCCTAGCATCCCTCTCACCCCCCATCCCCCCCCCCCCGTCCGACCCTGCCGCTGTGGCAGGGCATTCCCCCTTGTTCTCTCTCTCTTCTTTTGGGTACTGTGTTTTGCCAGAGAGGCATTGAGTGGCAATCATGTTTGGTCTATAGACTACTAAAAGGAATTTTAAGAAAAAGAAGTTGGTGGAATATTGTTGGTTGTTTCAGTATATATTCTTTCAGAAAAATACTGATTTTTATTTACTCTTAATGTATAAATAACAATGTATTTTTTGTTAATTTGGAATTGTGGGGTTTTTCTATCCATGAAAACTGATAACATAAGTATTTATAATACTGAAATTTTAAGTGTTTTGGTACTGATATGGGCTGGAGCGATAGCACAGCAGTAGGACGTTTGCCTTGCAAGTGGCCAACATGGCCGACCCGAGTTCGATTCCTCCATCCCTCTCGGAGAGCTCGGCAAGCTACCAAGAGTATCTTGCCCGCACAGCAAATCCTGGCAAGCTCCCCGTGACATATTCGATATGCCAAACACAGTAACAATTGTCACAATAGAGACGTTACTGGGCCCACTCGAGCAATCGATGAACAACAGGAGGACAGTGACAGTGACAGGTACTGATATAAAATCTTTAATATACTCAATACTTATTAAATTTTGTGCTTATGTCTTTTAAGTTTATTTTTAAAAGAAAGTAGCTTAAAATACTACCATACTTAATACCAAAACTCACAATTTCTATTACTTTTATAGCTTTATAGGTTTCCATGAAATCTTTAAATATTTTTTTTTCAAGCTGGTGACTTAGATACCATTATTTTTTTTTGTAGATTTACAATTTTTTGTGCTTGGGTTTTGATTATACAATGATCAGATACCCATCCCTCCACCAGTGCCCATTTTCCACCACCATGGATAATATCCCCCCACCCCCATCCCCCCATCCCCCCCTGTCTCTGTGGCAGGGCAATCCCCTGTGTTCTTTCTCTCCTTTTGGGTGTTGTGGTCTGCAAAAGAGGCATTGAGTGGCAAACATGTTCAGTCCATAGTCTACTTTCGACATGCATCTCCCCTCCTGGGAGGATCCTCCAAACATCCTTTATTTGGTGCTCCCTTCTCTATCTAAGCTGCCCTTTCCTCTAGGATACCCGGCTGGCCTCTAAGTTATGGAGTAATCCTCCTGGTGCTGATCTCAGCTATTCTTGGGTATTAATCTCATACTTTGTTACTTTATATCCCCCAGATGAATGCAATCTTTCTATGTCTATCCCTCTCTTTCTGACTCATTTCGCTTAGCATGATACTTTCCATATTGTACCACTTGTATGTAAATTTCATGACTTCATCTTTTCTAAGAGCTACATAGTACTCCATTGTGTAGATGTACCAAAGTTTCTTGAACCAGTCATCTGTTCTTGGGCATTCAGGTTTCTTCCAGTTTCTGGCTATTGTAAAGAGTGCTGCAATGAACAAACAAGTGCAGATGTCACTTCGACTATACATTTTTGCCTCTCTGGGATATATTCCCAGGAGTGGTATTGCTGGGTCAAATGGGAGCTCAATTTCTAATTTTTTGAGAATCGTCCATACTGTTTTCCAGAAGGGCTGAACCAGTGGACATTCCCACCAACAGTGAAGGAGTGTCCCTTTCTCGCCACATCCACGCCAGCATCGGTTGCTTTTGTTCTTTTGAATGTGGGCCAGTCTCTGAGGTGTGAGATGGTATCTCATTGTGGTTTTGATCTGCATCTCCCTGATGATTAATGATGTAGAGCATTTTCTCATGTGCTTTTTTGCCATTCGGATTTCTTCTTTGAGAAAGTTTCTGTTCATTTCATTGCCCCATTTTTGGATGGGGTTGGATGTTTTCTTCTTGTGGAGTTTAACCAGTATTTTGTATATCCTGGATATCAACCCCTTGTCAGATGTGTATTCGGTGAATATCCTTTCCCATTCTGTAGACTGTCTTTGTATTTTGGTCACTGTTTCTTTGGAGGTGCAGAAGCTTAGAAAAATAAAAATTAAAGCCTAGGGCTCTTCTTTATCCATTACAGTATAGAGGGCAGAATATAGGGTACTGAAAGAAAGGAAAGTGGTAGATTGGTAAATGAGTGTTTTGGGTTTTTTTTTTTTCTGGTGGTTTCAGGGACTGAACTCAGGGCCTCACATATCCAAGGCAACTGCTATTCCACAAAGTGGCATCCTTGTCCTTATCAGTGAGAAGATGAGCGTAGTCATTCTGATGTATTGCTTTGGGCCGGGGTGTGGGTGCATGAGAGGGCACACCCAGTGGTACTTAGGGCTTACACCTAGCTCTGCATTGAGGGATCACTTCTGGCAATGCTCAGGGGACTAAATGGGGTATCAAGGATTAAACCTGAGTTAGGCCTGTGCAAAACAGTGCTCCTCCCGCTGTACTTTTGCTCCAGCCCCTCATTTATTTTCTATATGAACCATGAAGTTACATTTTTAGCTGAGGGTGAAAACGGAGTTGGAAATTTGAGGAATGAAATATATATATGTGAGCATGAGAATGGGAGAGTGAATTAACTTAAATAATAAGATTCCTGAAGACCTAGTTGGGGTTATTTAGCCATATCACCCCAAGGAGACCTGTCACATAGTTGTGTCTAGTTATGTTCAGCTTCTCTGGCTAGATGTACAATCAGTAGAGAGAAAAGTTGGCGATTTTAACATATGAAATTGATAGGTTGAATGAGGTCGAGCAGACCTGGGCATTGATTGTGTGCTGGGAGATGGTTGTAACATTCAATCTATAGTTAGAACTGAGCATTTGAGACTGCTTAATGAATACTTGCTGCACAGTATAACATGTGAAGGTCAGTAGATTGGTCAGCCTCAGGCAGGTATAGGAGTAAACTTACTAAAGGTTATCACCTGAGGAGTTAGTAGTTGGTCTGAGAATAGATCTTTGAAATTGAGGTTTGGACACTGTATGGTTATCTGATAATGACTGTATTTTATGTTCATTGGAATAGAGCTGAGGTGGGTTGAGGACAGAATAATTGAAAGTTATGGAGGAAGTCAAGAAACTGATTACAATGATAGAAGTTAGTAAGAAGACTGGCATTAAGAGAAAGGCATTGGCCTGTGCTGTACTTCACAGTTGAGACTAGGTAACAGTTGGCAGATGGGATCCACAAGGCATATACTTCAAAGGAGCTGTGGCTGCTGAGAGAAGACAGAAACGGTCTGGGAATTGTAATAGAAACAACAGTGCACCCCACCTTCGGCTGGCGGTCTATTAACTGCAAGCAGAAACAATAGGGCTTAGAGAGCTGCATGGTGAATTGTTTTCTTAAGAGTGGACTGGTTTTGCATCAAACAACGAAGAAAAGAAAGGGAACTATAGAGTTCAGCCTGAAAATACAGATTTGGCTGTTAGCAGGCTGTTAGTAAGTTCTAGGGCTCATAGTGGGAAAGTTGGGGTTTGGAGACTTTTCACTTTCAATTTACATAATTGTGTCTTAAAAAGTTCTCATGCATGCTACTTAGTATCTGAAAAATAGTAGAATTGTAATGCAGCCCTTCCAGAATTGATCTGATCTTTAACTCAATAATGTCTATTGCAGGAATGGTTTGCAGTCTATGTAGAACTTAATCAGCAAATTGCAGCACTCTTAAATGCTGGGGATGAGGAAGATCTGGTGGAGCTGAAGTCCCTGCAGCAACAACTTAGTGATGTTTGTTACCGACAGGCCAGTCAACTGGAGTTCAGGCAAAATCTCTTACAAGCAGCTCTTGAATTTCATGGTGTTGCCCAAGATGTAAGTGTCCGCTTAGTTGCCTTTCTCTTCTTAAAATGATCTGAACCTTATCTGCACATAATTTTTGCAGGTTTGCATGTCTCCTAAATCATTTTCCTGGAACAATGAAATAGTTTACTGGTGGGGGAGATGTGATAAAAATTCTTTGATTAAAATTTGTATTTTTTCAGTCGTTCTGCATGTAATTAAGCCTTTTATTGTCTAAATAGAATGTTTCAGTTTAGTAGTTATATTTTATTTTTTTTATTTATATTTGATTTCTCTCCATGTTTATGCTGATTAACATAGATTCACCTGGAAGTTTCAGTACCTTTTTACATTCTGCTGACTTGATTCTTTGTCTTCCTGGTGCATGCATCTCTGTGTTCTGTCTCTCAGATAAAGTGTATTCTAATTATCCATCCTTGTCTTTTAACAACATAGTCCTTTTCAAATATAATTGTGATAATCTCATTAGTTATGAACCTCATTAATCATTAAACGCTTTAGATGCTGATTACATCAGGGTTATCTCTTTGGTGTCCCTCTGCTTTAGTTGTCTCAGCAGTTGGATGGCTTATTAGGGATGTTGTGCGTAGATGTAGCACCAGCTGATGGAGCATCGATTCAGCAAACTTTAAAACTGCTTGAAGAGAAGCTGAAAAGTGTTGGTAAGCAGATTTTAAAAATGCTGAAACATAAGCGTTCTTTTAAAAAATATATGACCGTGGTTAGAAAAGTCAGCTTATACTCAACTAATTATTATTTATAGGGAACACAGGAAAAATTAGTATGATTAAAGGTTTTATTCCTTTGAAGGGTATAATTTTAGCTAAAATTTTTATTTTTCCTCATTGGTCAATCAATCTCCTTCAGTGAGCCTTTAGAATTTCCTGTTTACCCAGCTATATCTACAGGTGCTATGTCTTGTATATACTATAAAAAGTTATTCGTAGTGCATGCATAAGCTGTAATTAGCTGTGAAGTGTTCTGTGGTAAACCCTGTATGCCCCAAACTGTGTTTTTTTGCAATGATTTTTTTGTTGTTGCTACATCCTAACCTTGTTTTTTGAAAAGGGGGTGGAAAAATGGTTTGGCCTTATGCTTTTTTTTGATTTTTCCAAACTGGGAATATTGCCAAAGTTGCATGCTATTAAGGGGAGGATGGTCAAGTTTCAAAATCTACTTCTTTCACTTGACATAAAGCCCTTTTAAGGTTTACTATAATAAGAAGCACTATGGATTTCCCTAGATAGTGACTGGATAGATGAATAGTGAATGAGGTAAAAACTAGTAGGGTGTTAGAGGATGATATGTAGAAGCGAGACCATATGGTTCTGGAGAAGAAAGAGTGGGAACTTTGAGCAGAAATGTAAGGAAACGGTGACATGCAATTGAAGCAACTTAATTATTGAAAAGAACTTAAAGGAATTGGTAAGAAAAATCATGTTTATTTTGGAATTTTACTTGCATTTCCTTATTTTAAATGATAGTATGCATAATACAGATTTAATATTCCCAAATTTATTTCAAAAAGTCAGATGTGATGTTCAGTCTCAGCTTTTCCTTTAAAAAGGAAAAGAATTCCTGTGTACTTGTCCAATTTATGATACTATAAACATGTCAAGTGTTATTTCTCATTGGGTGGGGTAAGGTGCATAGTCCTTTTACATAAATTCATTGTGTATTTAAAGTCTTGCAGCTCATACACTTTTTAAAAAATTATTTTTATTGAGGCACCAGGATGTGCAATACTGTTAGTTATACTTTTCTTGAAAATATCTTTTTAATTTATTTATTTTATTTTTATCATTGGGCTGGAGCAATAGCACAGTGGGTAGGGCATTTGCCTGGCTGACCTGAGTTCAATTCCTCTGCCCTTCTCAGAGAGTCCGGCAAGCTACCGAGAGTATCTCTCCCGCGTGGCAAAATCTGGCAAGCTCCCGTGACGTATTCGATATACCAAACGAACACAGTAACAAGTCTCACAATGTTACTGGGCCCACTCAAGCAAATCAATGAACAACAGGAGGACAGTGACAGTGATTTTTATTATTATTATTATTATTATTATTTTTAATTAGTGAAACACCATGAGGTACAGTTGTAAACTTATAAACTTTCTTGCTTGGGTTTCAGTTATACAGTGATCGAGTACCCATCCCTCCACCAGTGCCCATTCTATCATACACTGTTTTGAATAATATATTGCCTTGTTCTTATAAAAACAAGCTGCATAAAAGCAGGCAGGAAAATATTGGAAAAATCATGTCAAAATACTAATTTTCACACTTTCTTCCTGTTCTCAGTTTTGATAACTAATTCTTTATATGGATATTTCACCCTTTGGCAATTCTCATTAGGGAAAATTTGTCATGATGGGGATTCTGATTGAGCCACATGTTAAGTAGATTTTGGTGCTTTAAATGTTTAGAAGACTCTTTCCTGAGATAGTTTAATGTACAATACTGGAATATTTGGAATCTAAGTGTTATATATTTGCTTATAGTTTTTCTTGGGTGGGGGGTAGAACTCTGCATTGATTAAGAGATTAAATCTAGTTACTTTTATTTTAGATGTAGGATTGCAAGGTTTGCGTGAAAAAGGCCAAGGTCTTCTGGATCAGATCTCCAATCAGGCATCCTGGGCCTATGGAAAGGATGTAACCATTGAAAATAAAGAAAATGTGGACCACATCCAAGGAGTGATGGAAGATATGCAGCTTAGGAAACAAAGGCAAAGTTTGACTGTTAATTTTTGCTAAGACAATATTTATTAATTAAATTGAAATATAATATTATATAATATATATTATTCTACGTAAAAGTACCAGTTCTCATCTGTTTATGCAGCAGTCATATTTGTAGTAAATTAATAATACCACATATATTGCATGAACAAGTAATTATAATGTATTGAATTAATAGATACTTTTCTGGAATGGTGTCTCAAAAGTGGGTCACACCCAAATGTGCACAGCATTTACTACCATTCCTGCATTCAAGAATCGCTCCTTGTAGACTTAGGGGACCATATGAAGTGATGGGGATTGAACCCAGGTCACTTGTGTGCAAGACCAGCACCTTACCTGCTGTATTACTTCCCCAGTTCTGAATAGATTCACTTTCACTCGGTAGAAAAATTTTTAGTCACACCCAAGTATTTCACATTCCATATTCCAGCATAGCCTGTAGACTTTTGTCTTCTAAGAAAAGCCATTTTTGGAAATTTTTGAAAATTTTGCACTCCTAATTTAATTTGGCTTTTGGGCTGTTATTAAATCCATTAACCATTGATATTTTTATTTGCCTTAAGTTATCTTTTGAATTTTCATTTTTTCATCAATTTATCATTGAATTGCAGCATTATGGAATTTCTGGGGACTAGCTTTACACTACTATATGTGCAATTGTCATTGCATCTAATACCAAAGTCCCTATCTAGTCATCCGCTGACATGCATTTAGGTTGATTCCATATTTAAATGATAGGTGTTAATTAAACTAGGAGTAAGAATCAATGGAATGAAAAGTAATAAAAGCTGAGTTGTGTCATCCTTTAATGTGAGAATAACCAAATTAACTCTTTGCAGATAAGGGGGAGAAGGAACTTCTGCCTAATAACTATTACTTTTTTCTCTGGTGCAGGGGGAAGTTCCTGGAAGGTTCTGTTAATGATCTGAAAATTCATACAACTATGCTAAAGGGTGTATATTCACAAAAATGTATTTAATCTTTGGGGTGCAATATTTTGCAGTCATTACTATAAACTGAGTTTTCAAAGACTCTTTTACATTTAAGTTTTATATCAAAAGGAATCTCACATCATCTTACCCAGAGTCTATTGCATAACCTTTCTGCAGCAAAAATAAGAATAATGAGGGGCTGGAGCAATAGCACAGCAGGTAGAGTATTTGCTTTGCACATGGCCAACCATGTTCGATTCCCAGCATCCCATTTGGTCCCCTGATCATGCCCAGCATTCTGTATAGTCCCTTGAGCCCACTAGGAATAATTCCTGAACCAGGAGAAACCCCTAAGTATTGCTGGGTATGGCCCCAAAACCAAAAAAAGAAAAAAAAATAATACAAATCAGTACAGAATAATTTGTTTATCTAATGGAGGGCTAAGTAGTTTAGTAGACCATGAAACATGTGCTCTCTGATGTTGTTATGATAATTACTGACAAGATTGAAATTATTCCCTAAATTTCTGTTTGGGTTTATTAGATGTGAAGACATGGTAGATGTGCGAAGGTTAAAGATGCTGCAAATGGTGCAGTTATTTAAATGTGAAGAAGATGCTGCCCAGGTAAAAATCATTCTGACACATTAGTCTTTTCTTAGAAGCTAGATTTCACTTAATTGTAAATAAAATTGTATTTGAGGTGCTTGAGAAAATAAAAACGTTAAGTCCAGTTCCAGTTTACTCTGTTGAAATGATACTTTTTTATTCCAGTTACCTTTCTGGTCTCAATTGACTTACTTTCTCAATGAAATACTCCATTGAGCCAGAAATTGAAATTATTTTGTTGAATTGTTGTCACTCACACTCCATGATAAAGACAAGTGTAACACATTGTTTTTTAATCCATGAGAGCTTTTTAGCTAGTCACTCAGTTTGCTCTCTTTCTGTAGAACAGTGAAGAGCATCATTTAAGGAAACAGAGGAAGTCTATTAAATAGTGAATAAATAATACGGTGATCTTTCTAATAACAGCTAAGTTATATAAACATGTTTTACATAAATCATCTAATTTTAAATGAATGTTTTTTAAATATATTAATGTCTTGATTTAAATTTTTGAGAAGGAGAGTTTATTAATTCATGTAGTTTGACATTTGAATGAAATATGCTATTAGAAAGTTAGGCTACAAATAATGGACTAATTTATCTTATGATAGTATTATCTTTGTAAATATGATGTCTTGATATAATGAGTATGATTCCAACTTTTTCACTGTTACTTATTTTCATTTAGGCAGTAGAATGGCTAAGTGAACTTCTGGATGCTCTGCTTAAGACCCACATCAGATTGGGTGATGATGCTCAGGAAACCAAAGTTTTGCTGGAAAAGCATAGAAAATTTGTTGACGTTGCACAGGTGCAGAACTGGTTATCTTCCTTTTCTAGAGGCTCAATGTTTGAATAGTTCTCTGCATGATTATAATGTAGTTTAACCCTCAAGTTCAAGCAGTTTAGTTATGCTATTCCGGAAGTATCATAGAACTAAGAAAATGTGAGCTGGTATATCAAAACTAGCCTCAAAAACTTGAGAGTGTTTCTGTTTTCCTGAGCATAGGGTCTGTAGGACTCCCTCCCTCTGACCTATGTTACACGATATGGCATTTTCTTTTCAGCAATCCCACTGTTTATTCATAAAAGCTAACCATAAGTAAATTAGAGATTCCTGATTTTTTGCAACTCACCAGATCTGCATAGCAGTACAAATTATTTTCTGTATGAATGAAAAGTAGATTATTATATTTTTCCCTAATAACTGGCTTTATAGTTTAACAGTTAGGATTTTCCATATGAACTCTAAATGCCTCTTTTCACCCACTTGCTTTGATTAATGAGGAAACAGACATTCTTTTTGGTTTGTGGAATTGAGCTGAATGAAATGGGTAAAATAGTGTTAGAGAGCAAGTTGAACAAGAAAGAAGCATTAAAAATATTACTTCCCAAGGCTGGAGAGATAGTATATTACATGGGGTGTTTGCCTTGCACCTAGCCTACCCAGGTTCAATCTCTGGTACCACATATGGTCTTCCCAGCTCCACTAGGAATGATCCCTGAGCACAGAGCCAGGAAGGAGTAAGACCTGAGTACCACCAACTGTGTGGCCCAAAAGCCAACTAGATGAATGAAAGTATTGCTTCTCCTTTATTGTTTATACATTCAGATAATTTGCAGCAGTGAGTGCTTGAGAGGTCATTGAGAAATGATCTCTAGTAGTGTCATTTAATCATCACCTCAGTCCTTCTGCACATTTTCCCAGACCACATTTCAGAATTTATTAAATTACAATTTTACTTTTCTTTTTCTGTTTTAGAGCACTTACGACTATGGAAGACAGTTGCTCCAGGCCACAGTTGTGTTGTGCCAGTCTTTGCGTTGCACTTCTCGATCTTCCGGGGACACACTTCCTCGACTGAACAGAGTATGGAAGCAGTTTACAATAGCATCTGAAGAACGAGTACATAGACTAGAGATGGCTATTGCATTTCACTCAAATGCAGAAAAGGTGTGCTTGTTTTTAAATGCACTTTCATTAGTATTTATTGTATACAAATATTGTATATTTATTTCATTTGAATATTTTTTATTGTGTTTAAAGTATGTTGATTTCGGGTGGGGGGAGGAGATGGATTTTTGAGCCATACCCAGTGGTGCTCAGGGGTTACTCTTGGCCGACACTTGGGAATCACTCCTGGCTCAGGAGACCGTATGGGATGCCAGGGATCAAACCTGGGTTGGCTAAGTATAAGGCAAGTGTCCAACCACTCTACTATCTTTCCAGGCCCAAAGATTTTTAAGAGCTTTATTTGAGCCAGCTATGTTTCCCCAAATTTGTATTTGTACCATAGCCTAAATTTGTATTTAGAAGTAATATTTTGCTTTAGAGAATCCAGATCAAATTCTGTAAGCATTCAGTCCTGTCAGTGCTGGAGTCCTGGAGTTAGAGCAGCCCAAAGCTGTGCAGTGTCTCCCTTTATAGTGCTTCTCCCATCACCAGACCTGAGGCCCTGAGCGTCTTTCCACTCTTTAGGTCATCCTGACCCTCCTCCCTTTTATGGTGCTGGGTATGGTGCTTTGCTTCACTGACTATTACTGCTTGCCATAAAAAAATTTTAAAGGCGCATTGTGATGTAATATTTAAAGTAGGGACTTCCCAGCTAAAATAACGAGAATAGAAATAAAGATAAAACACTTTTTAAAAGCATTTGTGTTACATTTGAAATTCTATTCTAGAATTCAGTATTCAATGAATTTAGTAGTCAAAAAAAAAAGTGAGATAGGCAGTGTTTGGGGGACAGATTTTCTACCTGCAGAGGTAAAATTCATTGTACCCTGGTCTTAAGATTTCCATTCTGAAGAAAAACTCTATTGTGCTGTTAACTATTTCAGTACCCTACAAGAGAAGTTTGTATGTAGGAGAGAGGCTCAGATGCAGTGCAGGAGAAGCCTACATTATGAATTCAATCCTGTGTTCCTTAGAGCAGAAGAGCCATTTCCAGGAATCTTATGAATTAAGCAATTTCCGTATTATGCAGTATATTGGTTGAGAAATGTCTATTGTTAATTCATTCTGAGCTGTTCACTGAATTCTGCAGTTTATTATTTTAGTTCAAAATGGGCCAGTGGGGGCCAGAGACCTAGCTCAGAGCTAAGTGTGTGTGTATCTAACATGTGTTGAACCCTGAATTTTACCCCAGGCACAGGGAAATAAAAAAAGGGGCTACAAGGGAACTCAGTGATAATGAGTGAAAGTATACAATCTGCATTTTAATTCAGAATGTTAAAATGGTTTGACTTTGTTAAGTTACTGATTTAATAAAGCTTTTATTGGAATATGTAACAGTTGCTTAAAGAGTATACAAATCAGGAGTGCTCTGCTCGATGAATTGTCACATGAACATACCCAAGTCATCTGCATTTGTCAAGACAAAGTACATTAGTGGCAGTCCCTTGCCACTCTGAGTAGTACTGCTTCTGCTGCTCCTCTCTCTTGTTGAGGAGTGAAGACTATTGGGCTTCTAGTATCACTTTTAACTCTTAAGTATACTGTTAAAAAAATGTTACTGCAAGGATACTTTAAAATCTTTACATACATTTTTAAAGAATCATATAAGAATTAATATCTTTTTTTTTTGCTTTTTTTGGGTCACATCTGGCGATGCACAGGGGTTACTCCTGGCTCTGCACTCAGGAGTAACTCCTGGCAGTGCTCAGGGAACCATATGGGATGCTGGGAATCAAACCCGGGTCGGCCACTTGCAAGGCAAATGCCCTACCTGCTGTGCTATATCTCTCCAGCCCCATAAGAATTAATATCTTTTGGGATTTTTTTAAGCCCCACCACTGGTTGCCCTTTTTTTAATAGAAAATTAATGCTTAATTTTGAGAGCCACATTATTTTTGTCACATTTATAAGAAACTCAGTTCAGGGTTTGGTGGATAGAACAGCAGTTAGGGTGCATAGCTAGCATGCACCTGACCGGGGCTGGTTCCCAGCACCACAGGGTGCCATGAGCATCACCAGATGAGGCTCTGGAGGCCCCGCAGCTATGACCTACATATCCCTGGTACTGAGGGGTCAAGGCAGCACAGCATCTTCAGGCATTCAGGTACTACTTGGCTGACCAAGAATTACTGGTAGGGCCCCAGACCTCCTGAGTACCACTTGGGAGGCCTAATTTAAAAAACACATAAAAGGAAAAAACTCAATTGAAAATTATTTTACAGCTTTAACGTTGGTGAAATTCCTTTGTAATAATTCGCCTTGACTGTTCTATTTTATGTCAGTAAGTATAAACATAACCACAGCTATAAACAAAACTTTTAAAAAAACTATAAGCAACTAAAAATGGGCTGGAGTAATAGCACAGCGGGAGGGGGTTTGACTTGCATGAGGCCGACCAGTTCGATTCCTACACCCCTCTAGGAGAGCCTGGCAAGCTACTGAGAGTATCTCGCCCTCAAGGCAAAGCCTAGCAAGCTACCCGGGATGTATTCGATATGCCAAACACAGTAGAAATAAGTCTAAAATGGTAACATTACTGGGCCTGCTTGAGGAAATCGATGAAAAACGGGAGGACAATGACAGTGACAGTGAACTAAAAATAGTTCTTTATATATATGTAATAGTATATGTAATATAGTGTACCAACTGGGAAATACAGTGATTGGGAAATATTTAAAATTGAATATAGAGTTTTAAAATATTTAAAAAGTTCTTTTCTGAGTAATGTTGAAATAAACATGATTAGGTTAAGTAATGAAAGAGTTATAAAAATAAGTACTTTCCAGGTCCTCCAATTTTCTGTTTTTCTTGTTTAAATATGTGGTAATAGTTAAGTAAAGAAATTGGTATCTTAACAAGAACTTTAGAACTTCCTACATTTTAATAATCACTATCACTATCACTATCCTCCCGTTGTTCATCGATTTGCTCGAGCAAGCCCAGTAACATTGTGACAATTGTTACTGTGTTTGGCATATCGAATATGTCACGGGGAGCTTGCCAGGCTTTGCCATGTGGGCGAGATACTCTTAGTAGCTTGCCAGGCTCTCCAAGAGGGCCAGAGGAATCAAACTCAGGTCAGCCAGCACTGCCGCTTGCGAAGCAAACGCCCTACCCACTCTGCTATCACTCCAGCCCTTAATTATAATCATAGTCATTTATGTCAGATAACCCAGGTCAACAGATCAGTTTTAAAATAACTTGTCAAGTCTAGTGGTCATCATCTGAGTTTTGTTTTTGTAACAAAAATATATGTTGTTTCATACTTTTTATTTTCTTTTTATTTCTTTTTATTTTATTTTTATTTTTGAGTGTGTTAGTTTCTTGGGGCCAAAAATCTGTATTTCATTTATATCAGACAGCTACTAAATAAACATATGGTAAAAATCGAGTAGTTAATTAATAAAAGAATTCTTCTAAATCTCAAAGTGATTTTACAAAAGTAGTGTAGCTTTATTTTCTCTTAGAAATCACTATAAATTTTTCATGCTCCAATTATATATTAGATAGATATATTTTATTTTGCTTGTATTTCTTGATCAGTTCTTACCAATGATACATCTTGTACAATGGAGTAAATGAGGCACTTAGAACAAAACAAAAACATCTCAAGTCTTAATTTCCATGAACTTGATTTCCTTTCTGTATTTCTTGATGGATGTTCCCTTTTCATTTGTTGCAGATTTTGCAAGACTGTCCAGATGAGCCTGAAGCTATTAATGATGAGGAGCAGTTTGATGAAATTGAAGCAGTTGGGAAATCACTTTTGGATAGATTAACTGTTCCTGTAGTTTATCCTGATGGGTATGGTGCATGTTCCTATAATGTTGTCTATCAGTGAGAGCTTAAAATGAAATAGTTAAGAAAGGAAAATCTATTTTTGAAAAAGCCAAGTTAATTAGCGTCGATCCCCATTCATTAATCCCAAGAAGTATTTTTTTTTAAATTAAAAAAAAATTCTGACCTCTGCTCTTAACAACAATAACAGTTGGTATTGGCTATGTGTTGCTTCTTGGCAGTTTGTTGTAAAAGAAAATCATCAACTAGGTTGACATTAGCAGGTTTTAACCTTATAATTATAAGGAGGATAGTGATGAGACTTTAAGGAAATATAAATAACTAACATTTAGTGAAATCCTAAGAAACAATGAAAAGCACTTCACCTCCATTACTTTTTGACCAAACAATGTCAAGCCAGTAGGATAATCTACTCATTTACAGAAATAGATGCTCAGAAAAATTAAGAAGGAGTTCATAGCTTCTAAGAGAATGAGAATGCACACCCAGGTTTGCCCCATTCCATTTGCAGGATGCTTTATGTAGTCCTAAAAATTTCTCTATTTGCAAAATGATGAGATTCTGATCATTTCAGAGATTCAGTGATAAAAATATGAAATAATCAAATGTAAATAAATGGGCCAGTAAAAGAATGAGAAGGATACACCTAAAACTTACACAGTATTGTAAACCAATGATAGCTCAGTAATAGCATTAACTATAATAAAAAGAAAAAGCTCGACTTAAAATATTCAAAAAGGATATTTAAAAACTATTGAAGTTTAGTTTGGATAATTCATTTTTTAAAAAAATCAAAAGATGTATCATCTGTATGTGTCTAAACTTTAGTCAAAGTAATTTAGAGGTGACTCAGAGGATGTTTAATTCAACAGTGCAGAAACCAAAAGTTGAATGCAACTCTGCTTTCACTGTAGAACAGTGTTATAGAATTGTGACTTCAGAACCAGGCTGCTTAGGTTTAAATCTCAACTCTGCAACTTATTAATTCTGACACCTTGCATTCTACACTCTCTGCTTCAATTCTCTCATCTAAAAATTGTGATACACTATTTATATTCATACTTCTTCAGGTTATGGGGCAGGAACTTAATGAGCAAAATGTACATATACTCATCTGATATTTTTTGTTTTAAATCAAACCTGACACATAGTATCAATTCTGCTGTGAAATTAATTCCCATTGATTATTTGAAATTGATATTAATAAAATAACATTTTGTTTCCTTAGAACAATTTTTATTCAGCCTATACTTAAATAATTTCTAGTCATTCCTAAACTTTGACAATGAGACGCAACCAAAAATCATACTAAATGTATACAATGAAAGAGAATAAAAGTCAAAATCAATAAATTTCTAGTGATAGTATTGTGGGAATGCTGATGGGTATTTTGTTCCAGAACTGTCAGCTTCCTTATTTTACATTTCACTGCCTCCTGTTCTATTCAGGTCAGCCTAAGAATGTCTGTTCCTAGTATTTGCCTAGATTTCACCTCCTATGTGCAACAAATAGTGTACAAGTATTGTTACCTCATCTATTTTAAGATAAAAACACAAGTTAATTAAAATTTCGCAGCCACTACCTTTAACATTTGTAATTGTTAGTCTTGTATGATAATGTTTATATTCTCTTGAAAGCTTGTTGACAGTAAGCTTATTCAGCTTTTTTTCTTTGTAATACTCTCCTAGTAAAATAAATGAAATGGATCATCACTCTGGATTTTCTGCTTGAAGACTTAGGTTCAAATGCTGCTTTTTCTACTCTGTGACTTTAGTCAAGTCATTTAATTTTTTTAGTCCTTAGTTTTCTGATCTGAAAAAAATGAGTTTTTTATTAAGTAGTTTCCAAGAACCCTTTCTGCCCTAAAAGATTCTGTGATTCTCAATATAGTTCATTTCCAAATAAGGTAAAATTAAATGATTTTTATGTATTTCCCAAATTAAATCTTTACATTAAGTGGACATTTTACTTGCCAGATGTATTAGACAATTGATGTGACAATCAGACAGTTAGCACTGAAGTACATATTCAAACTTCATGTTTGTGTATGCTTGTAGAACAAAAATTGATCAGCAGAATGTCTCCAGTGTTCCATTTTATTTTATTGAAGTTATTATAAATATACATCATATACTTCTAGCATGTATAGACATTCCTCTGCATTTCTTAAGTTTTTTTGTCATGAAAAAGGATGCTTTTGCTGTTTACTACTAAAACAGTAATTACTTGAGATAAAATAATTTCTTCTCAAAGTCTGTACCACTTAAATATTCTTAAATGGTTGTATTTTGCTTCCTTTTCATTTGACAATGGATGTATAGCCAGATTTCTATTTAACTTGACTTGGTTTTCCTGTTTGGATTTTAGAACTGAACAGTATTTTGGGAGTCCAAGTGACATGGCTTCTACTGCAGAACATATCAGAGACAGGATGAAACTGGTTAGTCTGAAAAGGCAGCAGCTGAGACATCCTGAGATGATGGCCACAGAGAGCTAATAACTGCCCACTTCCCAGACCTGCAGCTCATATTCCCGCATGTCGTCAGCATCCTACGGCCGCCTCCATACCTTCAGATGCATTTCACAGTCAGGATAAGCCTCATTTGTTTCCATACACATTTCTCTCCATGTTAACACCTTGAAGCTACCAAGGCATCATTCTTTAATATGCTTTGAGACCATAGACTCCAAGTATTTTAAAAGAAGGAACTGTAAACATTGCACTGAAAATTTGATTTAAAGCTTTATCTGACCTGTCAGTTTGTAGATGAACAACTGATCATAAGCTTTGATTGGTGCTAATAAGAGTTTAGGAATTCTCTTTAAAAAGTGGTTGCCCTTCTTCCCCAGGTGATATAGTAAATTTAGATTGAACTTAACCTGTTACTAGTAGACAATGATGTCCTCATTTTTTTATTTTATAATTTTTCTTTAAATTTTATTATTTTTATTGTGTCCATATGAAGAAATCCCTTCAGATCTTTGATATATTCACTAAAAGACATTTTTCTATTTGTATTGATAATGTGTTAAAAGTTGGTTGTGCTTAATAAAAGGTTTCTTTTAAACATCTTTATTTAATTTGGTGATTATATCCTATTTTCATATATGAGTGCCTTACTTAAAAGGGCATTCTTAGAATTGTGAAGATGGTATATTTGTTTTTTCATGTTGGTTGCATGTATCTTAGCCAGAAAATTTATATGTAAGCATGTATATAGAATAATTAAGCATGTTTTATTATGAAAAGTAATTGTAAAAAACAAGTTAGATCTTTAAGAACTTGTGAATAATGGAATACTAATTCTAATTGTTCTCTTCTTCACCTTGAAAATAATGTCAAAATTTTGTTTTCATGGGGAGAAGTGTTAGAGAAGAAGGTGTACATCATTAGGCAGTATAATCCCTGGTATCAGAGTGATATTCCTGGAACTCAGATTGCAATTGTTAACAAAATCTAACTTGTCATAAAAGAAGCTAAATAAATCCTGAAGTGTCTAATTACAAAAACTGTACAACTCATTTAGGAAAAAAAATACTCAATGCCAGTACCTTAAGTTTATATTATGTTTAAATGTTAAGATACATATAATTTAAATTTTGTTAAGCTATATGGTTTTTCATTTCAGAAAATTTTTTTGAAAACGATTTAAAAAAATAACTTTGGTTGTGATCAATACAGAACTGTAGAAAGACTTATATGCTGGTTTCTTCTCCTTTGTCTACAAATGTTCTTATATGCTCCAAAGCAAAAAAACTCCGTCTGAACATTCTAATTTCTCCAGCCTTCTTCACTGCCAGATTCCTTAAAGAAATGTTCATTCACCGCCCCTATATTCTCCTTGCTCCCTGTTCAGCACCTTGCAGTCTGGTTCTCTGACACACACTGTGGTGAAATGGTTCTCAGAGGGCTTGTAGGTATCAGATTGAATGATTTTTTTTCTCAGTCCCTTTCGGTTTTTTCTTCTCTGATTCTGCAACATTTTGTATCATGTCGTAAAGTACATCCTCCCTTGAAGATAGTGTTTTCTGCCATAACTGTGAGTATAGTCACATAACTTATTTGAAATGTGTTTTATTAAATGCTAAGCATCACAGATGTTTGTCTTTAGAATATTTGAGGATCTTCTAGATCTACTGTTCTTCTGTGGGTATCTTATCTTCAGAGTTTCTGTTTCATCCCTGTGTCCTATGTTATGCATCTCTTCCAAAATTCTACACCTGTGCTTTTAGCTACCTACTTGATGTTTCAGCTTCAATGAATTTGTTTATCGTATTAATCACTGTTCTCATCCTGGAGCAATTTTACTTAGAGTTTCAGCCTAATGCCAGAAAATATGGGGCCAAAGTTTTCAACTGTTCCTGCTTGACTTATGCTGCCAGTGCTTCCAGAACATCCTGGAAGTTCTTTCTATATTTGATAATCCTCTCACTCTTTTAGGGCTTATCTACTATGAGTATGAATTTCTGCAATTCTTCATTTAAATCTTTATGATGGTGCTAAACATATTTTTGAGTTGTTTATATCTATACCTGCTGTATCATAAGTTCTCGAGGGAATGGTTCTTGTGTGACTTGTATCTCCAGCCTTTTGCTCTTGGATAACAGTTGTTCGGTTCCCCTGTATGAGAGTGGTCTATTATAGGGAGTAGTAATAATCCTGGTTGGGGTCTGAAGTGTGTTTTAAACACACTTCCTAATACTAAGACTGACTTATAAGTAAATCTGCTCATAAGGAAGCCATTTGGCATTAAAGATAAATGGAAATCAGCTAATTTAGATATTTACTTATACTCTTACCTTTTTTTTTACTGAATTTCAGAATAGTTAGAATGTCTTTATTAGGACTTTGCTAGAAGGGAACAAGATTATAAGTAATCAGACTCTTATTTCTAGCATACACTCAACTATTTATCATTAGATGAATTAACTGTCATATGCCTTAAGCTATCCTGCCTACCTACCAGACAGAAATAAGTTTGCATCTGAAACTGTTATTTTCAATTTGAATATTTCAGATAACATGAAAGTCCTTCCAGAATAGTAAATATTGTTGTTCATTTGTAAATTTGCTGCTACTCTGTATCTGTATATATAGTAACGAATGAAACCCAACAATATCCCAGTATAACCCCTCGACCCCCGATAGGTTCATAGTTTATTTAGAGTACATGTGAGGAAGTGACTGAAGTCTATTACAGATCACACACTCTTTGCATGTTTGCATACAGATAGAGAAAGCACCATCATTCCTATTGATATTCGCCACCTCATTTCACATTACTCTAGTTCATCTCAGGGAATGATTAAGTGTTAATTGGGAATCATTTGCTTTTTTTAATCTCTGGTTTCGGGATTTCTGTCTTTTTCTTTGTTTTCTAATCATATTTGCTCCAGTGTGTGTGTGTGTGTGTGTGTGTGTGTGTGTGTGTGTGTGTGTGTGTAAAACGGCAGTTTGGCATCTCTTCTTTTCTTTTCTTTATGTTTGTCAAACCCAACAGAGTTATGATGGAAAGCTAACCCCTTTTCAGATGAAATGGCACTATTCCCAGTTCCCATTGTTCATGATCTTATTCTAGAATGATTCATTGGTGATGTTCATCCTGCCAGCTTAGATGTTGGTGAGCCTAGGCTTCATGGCTGTGTAGAAGACTGGACACTTCTTTTATCATATAGTCACATAATTTGGCCAGTGTTCTCAAGTGTTATCTAGTCTTATCATGTTCATTGTTTAATCATTACTCTAGAAGTTGGCATACGTTGTGCCATTCAGTTCTTTTTTCCTTAATTTAGTATTATCTTTTATAGCTTATTCCTTAATAAAAGCATGACAATTACTTTTTTCTGGTAGTTCTAGGCAAATTATACTCTTAATTTAAAACAGGCGGCATAATTGAAAGATTAGCTGACCCTATCTCATTCTAATGTTTACATTAGAAAGAATTTAGAGTTCTTTGTAAATTTCTTGTTAGAGATTGGACATTGTATTGGACTTTTTCCATTCTCTCAGGGGACAATGAAAATATACCCTGGCTACTAAAACTAAAGATTATGATTGTTGAAGTCCTTTATATCTTGATTCCATAGAAAATGGTACAGGCAGCTAACAAAGTAAACATAATAAATGAACAAGAGTTGTATGAGTGGAGAATCTCAGCTTAAATCCCCAAAGGAAATTTTTTTCTATAATTAAATAAAGGCCAGACATAGCTGAATAGCAAACTAAATTAACAAGCTTGGCAGTTGTCACTGGTCACTTTCAGTTCTGAATAAGAAGCTTAATATGAGAGTAGAAAATACTCTTCTGGTATCTAGGGGGAAAATTCCTTGACAAAGCAAAATGAAGCACTGGCTTAACATCACACAGTATTGTATGTCAGGGCACACTATGGAAAAGTCGAGGCTATGCTTTATTAGTATGAAGACAGTGAAGAAAATTCAAAAGTTAACATTAAAACAAGTGAATATAATGGAAATAATTTGGAGTTTGAATATCTGACTTCAAAATCTGACTTAGCCATGAACTAGTCTATAAAAATCACTAAACTTCTCTGGTTATTAAATAGAAATACATAAAATAATTTCAGGAATAAATTATGGTTTTTTTAAGTTAGCTAAAGTGTTATCCAAAAAGTGAAGTATTTCCATAATTAAAAAGATGATTGTTTTGTAATAGAAAAGAGCATTGTTTAATCTTAGGCTTGTCTCAAATGGCAAACATGAGGTTTGTGGGGAAGCAGTAGTTTCTGGCTTGTCTCCCTCCCTCAATCCCATTTGCCCTGTATTTATTTCCCAGTTTTACATAAAGTGGGAGTGGAGTTAATCCCATCAGTAAATTACAGAATTTTTATATCAGACAAATTAGTTCTTACTAACAGGATAATAGAAGACCAGTGAGAAGGATCATCTACTTTGATGATGACTGGACATGTTACAGTTTCATTAGTAAATAACTGAAAAAAGTTATTTGGAGTGAAGATTAGTAAGAGACAATTTCTAGAAGCAACGTTGAGCTTAAATATAATAAGGTTAATAATAAAGTTTCTTAATACTAAGGTTAAAAAGTAAATTTAAAAGCCATGAGACTTACATTATTTAGTCTAACTGCACTGGTAGCAGCAATCTTGGCAAACTTGGACAATGATAATTCTAGGACTGGTAATAGAGATCGATGGTACTATGATTGCTCTGTGAATAACATAATGTAGAAGACTGAAAAGGGTTCATAGATATGTTGAAGAACTTAACTGCACTGTTTTAAAGCAAACTTGAAAACTAGTCACTAGTGCCTGGGCTTCATAAAACAAAATTATGCCTTTACAATCTTTGAGATCAAAGAATAGCTAGTAAGAGCTAGATATTTTTAAAGCAGTGAGTACATTTCTAACAGCATCATGACTGTTTCTATAAAAGAACTCTTATGAGGAAATATATGTAGTTCCTATGTATAATGATGTAGGAGCTCTCATATAACTAAAAACCATTATCAGTTGCTAGATATTAAGAACAGAATATTTACAGATTTTAAATCAGACATAAAAAAACATTGGACAAAAGACTATTGAAAACTGAAGCCAACTTAGAGTATCTCAGGGAGTCACCTACTTAGAAATACCTAAAAGCCAAATGCCATCTCTAATGCATTCTAAATGCTTTCATGTAGGGGCAGAAACAGGAGGATAATTCTGATGTTCTTCCTGTCAGAACTTAGGGGCTGTTCACTATGATCAAGCTACATACCATGTTTTGGGTCTACTCATCTTTTCTATTATAGTTACCTTGGTTCTCTTTCACTTAGTAGTCAGGGTAAAATCTTTTTCTGTGCTTGACTTTTCTCTTAAGAATGTTTTTTCATCTTACCTCTTATGTTAGTCGATTTAACCAGCAATATTGCTCAAAATTTACCATCCATGTATATATTGTTTTTTAGAGGTGTGAGGGAATCAGAATATCACTTTGACAAACTTGAGCCAGAATGGAATTGAGAACTTATTTCTCACCTCACACTCAGGAATATGCTTTTACATACTCTTAAATTTCTAAATTAAAGCCAAGATGAAGAGTTTAATAATTA